CGGATCATTTAATAAATTAAGCGTCTCGCACAGAAATAGAGAGCGACGATGGCCGTGTGTAAATCCAATTACTCGATAATTGGTTTAAGAGTGCTATTGTAGTTAATTTCCTGGGGCAGTTTTGGATAACGTTCAGCGACACGATAATGAGATACAAGACCGTCCGTACGAAAAATACTTTTACATTATTTCCAATTTCTTATTTTTCCGTAATCTGATTCGATTACAGATCTATGTATGGAATCCTTCGATATTTGATAATTAAGTTTTTTTTTTTTACAAAAATAACGAGACATATAGTCTCGACTGGCATCCTGAATACCCTGTATCTACAGGTATTGTTTCAAACAAAAGATAATATAAAGCAAATCTCTTTCCCATTCGCATCTTGTATAATATCTTTGTGTCACGTAATTGAAAATCTCGAAAATAATTCCCGCTAAGTCTCTTCCCTTCGTTTCGTACTCGCGTTTCTCAGTTCCGATCTTTAGGCCGCCCGCGCCGTGTTCGCTAACTGTTTTTCCTTTCCGCGGTTTATTTCCGATTAACGCGCGCAAGGACCTTCCACAAAGACCTCGTGCGGCAGCTAAGACGTGCGGGGAAGTTATTCGTGTAATTTATGGGTAGAGTGCCCTTCTCGACTCTCTTGCAGCGAGGTCGCAAGCGCTGACGTTCTTCTATTTCAAAGTGCGCTCCTTGAAGTTGTTATGAGAATACGAAAAGCGTCCAGTGGACGTCTTTGGAACGATATACTGCACCGCTTTCTGAAAAGGCCACGAGAATCTCGGCAAGCTGTGAATATCGACAGACTCGGAATACTAAAATAACGTTAAATGTATATATATAACTCGACACTTAATCGGACGTTACAATAAGACAAATTTATTGGATATAAATAAAACGAGGCTGTTCTCCTTTTAATTAACGTCAATAATTACGTCAATGACAAAAGTCAGTTATAAGAAAAAGTGTGTTACGTGTGTCGTCTTGATGTCCGCCGATTTACCACATCCTCCGGTTAATTCGTTGAATATCTTCGTTGAAAGACAGGACGTATTTTCCTTTCCATGCACGGAACGTCGCGTAATCCGGCAATCTCGCAAATGTGGCGAGCGTTTCTATCGACTTAATTGCTTTACCCTCCTTAAATTCACGAGGCAGCGAGGGAACTTGGCCTCGTGTATACTTTGCCTGTCAGACTCTTGCTTCTTCGTCGGGAGCAGCGACATGGGGGCGCACCGCGGAACGCTCCTTTTTCTTTTTGTCACGACCATCCAGTTTTTAGACGTATCGTAACGACGACATTAGTATCGCGTGCAACAGCTCGTGCAACTTTTAACGGAGCCGAATGCGCGCGCGGAAAGCGGCGAGCTGACAAGATTGCGGGCGTGCACTTTGAAATAGCAGAATGGAAATTAATGCGCCAAACGTTGCGTTACTTCTGGTATATTACGTTACTTTACGGTGTTATTAAAACGAAATATTATTTGTCCTCTTGTGTACATATATATGTTGATATCAAAGATGCAAATTTATCGGTGAACACGTTTTACAGATATCTGTTAGTCACAATCAATTTATTTGGATGATATCGAGAAATGTAACTTTATATTTCGTCATTTTATATGTCGTCGGTAAAACGTATTATATTAATCTTTTATGATTCAAGCAGCTAAATGCGTAATGTATAAAGTTCTCGAGTAGCGATATGTATTCTGCATGGAATAATAATACTTTTCTCGATTCCAATCGCTTCACGATTTATCAGATACCTATATATACCTGTGGGACACGCGACATTTCCGATGTTGCTCTGCTAATACATTGCGCAACATCATCAATAGCTCTGATATCGCGACCATTAAGTATTCAAAGAGACGCGATTTTATTTTCGGTACCACGAACAATCTATGGATTTCCCGTCGCCGTGTGTAGTCGCTATTTTCATCTCACGGTGAATATTTCATGTATATCGGAATATCGTGCTTCCTGAGTCAAAAGTCATAATTCTGTCATACAACAGTATATCACTTACAGGATTATAAAAATAAAACTCCTTATTGATATCAGTGTGGTTTCTTTTTAAGAAAAAAATACATTATAGTATAAGAAACATTTTTCAAGTAATAGCATAGCTATTATAAGAATTTCATAAAATTTACAGGTCCGAAATATTTGAGTAAGAAAAAATAGAGTTACGAATAATAAAGAAACAAAAATAGCATTTAAAAAGATGCACATTGTATGCAAAAGATATAATTTTTATCCAAAAATTATGGTACTTTTTAAACACTTTTACACAAAATATTTCTTTTTATAAAATATATGTTTATAAATCACGAATAAATCTTATTCGATTAATTAATATCATGCTTACTGAATTCACATTCTGTGATCAAAATGATCTCTTTGGGATTTAAGAACTTCGCGAGTGAGTCAAGTGGAAAACGGTGGTGCGAAAAATGCCTTAACACAAATCATGCGGATCATGAGGCGCATCGCGGAGTACCTACTCGACCTCTCAAGTTTGGGATCCTATTGACTTACGCCTCGTCGTATCTGCCGAATGGAGGAGGGACAGAGAGGCGCGTTGGTCTGTTTAATGAACAAGCCTGAGCGGTTTGATTTGCATTGCGCACAGTCACGCTCCGCTCGCGGTGCGAATTTCAACGTAGCAGACTACGCTACTCGGTGGCCACCTGAGTAACGTGAGATACCTGCACGATGACGCAGTCCGACCTAGGGACGCGTAATGTGCCCGGGTAGAGAGCGCTTTAAGGGGCATTCCTGTCGCGCCTGCATCGCACCGTTGCGTTATCGCGATTCAGCGTTGAGCACTGCCATCGAATGACAGTTTCCTGTGTCAAAGCATACCCCAGCCGCTGCTACACAACGTGATCAACCCCGGGCGCAACCCCCCCGCCCCCCGTCCTCGCCCGGACCCCGCCGCCGCCCCCATCCGCGCTGCCTTCTTCCATCGAGGGTCGCGCAATTCGAGCGGCAAATGCAATATTGTGGCCTCGCCGCCGAGACACTTGAGACAAAATGCCATGCTTTCGCGCGATTTGCCCCTTTTTTCCCCGATTTTCAAAGACCCTGCACTTCCCGGGAGCTCTTAGATCCTCTTTTCGCGCATCGATTTACGTTATATTTAATTACTTGTGCTTAAGAGATTCTCCAAATCAAGCAATTATATGGATGCTTTTTAATACACCCCTTCGAAGTCTCTTCGATTTTTCAGGTTACAACGCGCGTTTATTATTATATATTATTTCCGCACACATATGCACAAAAGCTTATTGTATAAAACTTTCAGTTTAGTAAAAACACAAATGTTTGTTACAAATTTTAGAAAAACACAGCATAAACCAGTCGGTACATATATATTTTTTATTTATATTCTTCTATTTACTTTTTTATTTATATTTTTTATTTTTTATTTTCATGCGATAATTCAATAGCCGAGAATTGAAATTATTAAATTACAAATATATGTTCATTTATTTATTTGATATTTGATACATAATAAACAATTTCTCTCTCTTCATGCAAAATTGCATTTTGTTTAGCTTGACAAAGCATCGATAGCGATCACTTTAATTTTATTAGTCGGAGTTCAGTATCGCGTTTCTTTTTTCTGCTCTTTGTGATCGGCACTCATAAAGTCACTTTCACACTCGCGCGCACTCACGAGTGCCTCTTCGCATTAGTCGATGGGACAAATGTGAAAACGAGATGCCGTTTTCGCGGCAAGCGTGACTCGATCATGTCGACCGTATGATCAGTAAGTGGAAACGGGCGAGCACGCGTCCGGCCTATGAAATCGGAGTCAAACTTGCGAGCGAACGAATGTTTATTTGAAACAGGATAGTCGGCGAACGATTGCGCGCTCCTGATTTCGAAACGCGAGCGGGGCTGGAGGGAGGGAGGGGCTCGAGCATTGAACCCCGAGCGAGCGACTGACGAAAAAAATTGCGTCCGCTGTTTGCGGTTTGGCTATATCGTTTGGAGACAATTAACAATTGGCTTTGTGCGATACGAGAAGAGTAGTACGCGATAGGTGCGCGAAGAAAAGGTGGTATCCAATAAATAGTGAAAATAATTTCCCCGTTTAAATCAAACAATATCCGCGATTGAAGTAATTTGTGTAAATATTTTTTTTCAATATCAAGAGTAATTATCTTATAAAAAAATAATTGTTTTCTTAAATTAATGCTCTCTGATCTGTTGCTGCGCCTAACTTCGAAAATTTTTCTATTTTGCCGGATAAACCGCCTGATCAATGAGAGATCCGAGTCGATTATTATTCTTTCTTCGCGATCTTGTAAAAATCGTTAAACTCGTATGATTCTCGATATTAAAAACGACGGCGCGCACGCTAAGGAGAAAAACGAGAGCCGCGACGTCTGTGCAGTAAAGCGTCATCCGACCTACAACCTCTTATCTTACAACCCTACCCTCGCCTCTTACGGCCACTGTGCTCCACCTTTGAAATCTTATCCGCCGCTACGTACGACCTTCTCAGAATTTATATTAAACAACCGACTCCCATTATTGGTTTATTCGTGTGTTGTCAGGCAAGGTAGCATCCATCCGGCGAATCTCGCGATCGCTCAAGAATCTCTTTTCACGACTTTTCGCTAACGTAACCCGTTTATATGCAATATCAACCTGAGACCGAACAAGATAACATCTTCTTGTTCTAGAAAACAAAAATTAGATTTAGCATTTTATGACTGAGATGGGGTCGATGGTTATCGCAAAATATACCTGAATTTTATATAAAAAATATCTAAATATGAAATCAAGTACCTCTATCATTCTCTACTGTGTTATCTAATATAGTGGAAAATATAGTTCAATAAGTATACTATGTTCCAATGTACCATACTTATATCTTGCGTAATATTTTTATGTCTGAAACGTTATAATTTTTTATGTAGACGATAATAATAGCTTTCATGAGAATATGTAATAATAACAATTTCTTTCTGTGTCAGCGTGTTCCTCGAGCGAGTTCATATGCAGAAACGGGCAGTGTATCGACAGTAATAAATACTGCGATGGCATGCAAGATTGCCACGACGGATCCGATGAACACAATTGCCGTAAGTGTCGTATCCACATCCGAAAGATGATCGCCCACACTCATCACAGTTATTTGCATGCGCATGCAGTTTGAACTTGCGATGGTGGTGCGCTGTGATCGTAGCTTTAGAATTCGTACATCTTTTTAACATCCTATTACTTAATATACTATGATAACTTCATTAGTCAAATTAATATTGCATTTTTGTGCATCCACACAATTTTCAAACCATTAAACCCTCTTGTATGAGCCGCGTAAATTGTGTCTAGTAGTGCAGAACACAATTTTTATGCGTTTACTACATTTCTAAACTGATTATCACACAATATAATTTTTATTCAAGAAGGAAATTTAGAACACGATTAATATAAAGGCTTTTTATGACATCAATTCAGAAGCATTGCACGCAAGGTGTTAATTACACAAGCAGAAATGAGTTTTACAAGATCGTCCTTGGACATATACGAATCTATATAAGATCTGCGTGTCGATAAAGGTATCTTTACGCGGAATCGTGAAAACTGATACCGGCGACGCCCTTGCACGTACCGGTATTATTTATCGCCGGCTAACACCGCACGACAGACTTGCATGCGACTTCGCCGGAACTAATGGTCGCGGACCAGTCCCGACGTATTACGATGAGCTTAATAATTATAATAGCTATGACAATAACAATGGCGTGCTCGGGGGAAGGAAAAAAAAGGACATAGGGGTCGTAGTGGGTGGCAGTGGTTGACGGTGGCCTCGCGTTTAAGGCCGTTGCACCCGGTGCACCGCATCGACATCCGTTTTCCCTCTTCGTACAACCCCGTCTGCCAACCCCCTCCTCTCTCCCTTCTCTCTAACTATGTCAGCTTATTATTTCCATTGTCTTTCGCAAAGGCACGCTTTGTGGTCGGTCCGTCATGTACAACCATGCACATCGCTAGCTATGACCGGTCGTTAAAGATCCCATTTTTTAAGAATCGAAAGGAAGAACATTTTACGATCCGATCGGCAGGTCGTGATACGCGGCTGAAAACATCTGTTAGAAATTGGGAATGCTTGCTTTATAGAAGTATCCATATTAAAAATAAAATCAGCACGACGTGGTTATCTTGCGCTTTTAATTTTTGCAAGATTTATTATACAGTTGAAAAAAAAAACATCTTTATATCTGCTTTCTTTAAGTCGTTATGCAAACAATTGTGTAGATATTTAATTAGGATTATTTCGCAATTCATATCGTAATAATCACGCTGCAAATTGTGATTTTGCACGGCAATAATCCATTAGCGGAAGTAACCGTGATTAGGAACAACACGTTTGGTGACGCATGTTATATTTCTATGTGATTTTACGGTACTTACACCGTCCATTTATATACAAAGGCTAACATCGTGATATCGTGGCGACGCGCGAGCGTACTCAAACGAGAATCGATCACCGATTTCTGATTCATCTTCTCGCGTAACTTATCGTATATACGTCTCATTAGCAACGTAAATGTCGTTTAACGTAAAAGCGCGAGGACGATTAAAGAGGAAAAAAAAAAGATGAAGCGCGAGGCTCCCCCGCCAAATCCGGGATGGCCCCTGTCGAACGAGATTTACCCGCGCTTATTAATCCGCCCTAATAACCGGCCGCAATTTTAATCCGACGTTAATCTCCCACGGGCCGTCGGCCGAACGTCGGACCCGGCCCTTCCATCACGCTCTGCCCCGGAATTTCGCATTTTCACCGCTTTAATCCAATTTTGATTCGTGACGAGAACCGTCGCACGCGCGCGCGCCCGCCAAACTTCTCCGCCATCACCGTCGCCACCGCCCGCTCCGCGAAATCGCGTCAGACCGCACGCGAGAGTCATCATTCCCGTTAAATCCCCGCACGAGATTATGTTTGTTTCTCGCTGTCCCGCGCGTCCGCGACGCGACGTTACGCCACGCGTGTCATTAAGCTGGCGCGGATGATATTTTAGAGGCGGATTATTTTGACGAATCTCCGGAAGTTTTAATAGCCGGGACAAAACTCGTCAGAAGGCGATGTCACGTATTTATCACCGCGCAAAGAAAATATCACGCTACGTCGTAATTATCTTGAGTAGTCTAAAGTTACTTTGGAATTACACAGTTTACCTGATTCAGCAGTTAAACTGTTAATTTCTCGAGTGCATATATACAGGGGGTCGTTTCTGGAATACTCGGATGTTCGCGCGAGGCAAATCGCCTCGAGCATCGGGCTTGCGAGCGGATTATTGAACTCGCGGCTCGTTTGCAATTCAATCGTCAAATGGGCGAGGCTTTAGGGCAGGCCTTGAACCTAAGATGATGTCAGAAATCGCAACATTACGCGTCGCTTTATCAACGTGCTGTTTCATGCCCGTTTTTTTGCATCGTCCTGGTGATCTAAGTCCGTCATTTTTGCTTCCTCAGGATAAATTGAAATAAAAAAGCAGACTTTTCGAAACTTTAGATCATAACGGAGGTCAGTTTAATCTCGCAATCGATCGTGTTAACTCGTATTAACTTCTGCCACGAAAAATTTACAACAAATAAATTGTTTATAATCGATAGCGGTCGCTGTATTCGACGACAATTAAGCGAGTACAACTGAAACTTCTGTAATCCTATGTCGCTCGATGGCACGAGATGTGAATTATTTATTTCGCATCGCGGTTTGAACATTGATAGAGTACCGTTCTATTTTTCCGTAATTTTTCGGTTCCGATTTTCATTGCTCTGTTTTTTTTTCTTTTTTTTCTTTTTTTTTGAGGCAGCCAATTAATTTTTCTACACGGCCTGAAAATGCTTCAGCGCGATGATCGCGATGAATATTTCGGTAGGAGGGACCGAATGCGAGCACACACGATTGTACGAAACATCATTATGAGATAACACTCCTCTCTTTCCTCTCCTCTCAAGCTTTACGTAGACGGTAATTTAGCGTTTTCCAGGGGAAGTGTTGGGACTTGTATCTTTCTGTCGCTTTCGCTCGTAAAGAACTTTCCACTGCGCTTCAATCGTTGTCTCTTGCGAATTCGCGCGACTTACCACGTCTGTCCACGTGTATGTGTGCTACGTCTCTGCGTGTATTCGTGCAATAACAGTCATCGACGTGGCTAAATGTAAAGGCAACTGTTGGTCGTCACGCAGTGTCCTTCCGTGGCGAGCCAGGTTCTTTCATGTTCTTCCATCGTTAACTAATTGCCGCTGTAAATTAGAGTACGGCGGGAGGGAGCGCGCGACGATTGACGTAACTTCTCGTTCATTTATAATCTCTTCCGTGAAATTTCCTCAAATACGTGCTAATTAATGGCCTAGTCACTTGGGCGCGCTTAACGCGGTTCGCTCGGCCACTAATTAGTCCATCTTCAGGAACTCCTTTCATGCTATCTTATATCATCGTGCCGCGATCCTACGTTAGAATTGTTGTTTTGCGTTCTCCAGTGCGGATTACTCCGCTATTAAAGTCTATCTTTCTCAACTGCATTCCTCGTGTTCAATTTGTGAAGCATTAATATGGATATTTTAACTTTAGAAAAAATATCGGAAAATATCAGGAATGCAGCTAGGCAAAACAGACCTGAAACTTCGTGTCGCTTACTTGCTTCTCGTTCACTTAATGAAGAACCTGATTCGATAAATATATGTTTTTTTTTTTACTTAAACATTGTTGTCGAATATTAGCTAGGAATGTAGCTTAATTTACTTGTCGACCAAATCGTTATTCGTTCGTCAACGGTCATTGTGCTTCCTCCGTCATCTGTATATCTCAGTGTTACGTCCAGCAATGTACGCCTAATCTTCGTCAGCGCCACATTCTCTCAGCTGTGTTTGTGTACGTGTCATCTCTCAAATTGACCTGCATCAGTCGAGTCATCGTGCCATTCTCGGCGACATAAATCTTCCCAGATTAGCCTGAGTGCAATTCTTACAGCCTGCAGGGAAGACCAATTCGAATGCGCGCCTGGTTATTGCGTGCCCTTAACGCGACGCTGTGACGGATACACGGACTGTGTCGGTGGAAGGGACGAACAAAATTGTTACAACATGAGTACGAATTATCACTATTTACTCCAATCAGCTGCGAAACGGCACACACTCGGCTGCGAAACATGTAAATCAGTTACTCGGCGTTGGAATAAACGTATATAGTCGCACATCTGCGGCGCGAAATGGCCTTTACCAAGAAACTCGTTTGACTCGTTAAACTATTTTATAAGAAGTGTCGCGACATCTGTTTTTTTTCCTATTGTGGATATCAAACTATGTTGCACAAGTATAGAGCCGATGACATTTCAGGGCCGCGTTACGAACGGTCACGGCGTGAGATTCCAACGCCGGTAACTGGGTAACTATACGGGAGCGCGAGGCAAGCCGAAAAGTTTAAACATTTATTTCCTGTTTTTCGTCTCGTGAAATTTTGTAATCGAAACAAATTGCATTCGCGATCGCGTTTCGAGGGGTATCGAAAGTCTCGTGTTCCCGTGTCGCATGGTTCGCAACGCACACACACACACGCACACACACACACGAGACACCGGAGCGTTTCGCAACACGCATCTCTGCGCGGCGAGAGGTAGGTACGAATTCTATATTGCATCTTTTGGATACGGTGGAAGGATTATAGCAGGACGCGGAATTTTCCTGCGTGAAAACGGTGCCTGCGCAGCATGAGATTTAAGCTCCCGCATTTTTAACTCATTAGGAAGTAGCGCATGATAATTTACGCACGACGCTGGTTACATCATAAAGTTATGCAGAAACTCGCGAACAGGTATTCGCACTTGCAATAACGCGACGGCGATTCTTGCGCTTAATTATTCATGGATATGCGGTAGCGCATATGGCCGCGAATTTACTCCGCAAAACAGTCACAGGCGCAAACAGTTAACAGCGATATGCGGAATAACTGTTATCCAACTGTCGCGAATAAATTAAATTTCAACGCAATGAATTAAATCCGCTTGAAAGAAACTCACACGTTTCCCGACAGATTAAATGACAGACTTTTTTTTTTAATTGTACCGATCTGAAATACGAGCATAGTGATAAAAAAAAAGCAGGCAAACAGTTTGTAGTTAGAAAGTTATCTGAATGGGAAATTAACAGATTTAACTTTAAACTTTAAGTATGCTATGAAATATGTTATGTCATGTTTAGGGCAAACATGGCATTCTAATCAGGTTTCGTTATTTATAGAGTTATTTATAGAGAGGGAGAGAGAGAGAGACACACATTTTCAGATTTTACGATTCTCGCGATGCGATGAACAGCCGGAGTCACCGACACGATTGTCAAGCATACGAGTAACGCGACGCTACAGCCTATATTTACTATAGGTCAAGTGGATTTTTGCAAATAGTTGCCATTTTTTAATTAACTAAAGCGGGCTATCGAATATTTTCCGTGCGTGGCATGTATTCAATTGATTATTGATATCGCGTAAATTGTATATGTTTCAGTAACCCGCTCAAATTGCGACAATAATCAATAAAACTCGAGTCGATAGCTCTTCTGTTACTTTGTCAAACAGAGAATAAAAACTTTTAACTAAATCAGGGTATCGCTGTGTGAAAGTGCTATCGTACCATCAATGAGGATATACGTTGCACGTTATTTTTTTTTTTTATTATTGGTTTATCCACTTTTCTGTGTCTTTCTTTCTCTCCCTCATTTTATTTATACACATTTTTATTTTTATTTTTCTATCTCTTTTAAATAGCACGATGTCGAGCGGACGAATTCGAGTGCGCCAGCGGTTTGTGTGTCAGCAAAAATGCAAGATGTGATGGACGAAACGATTGTCCCGATCATTCTGACGAGTATAATTGTACCGGTGTGTTTGTTTACATTTCTTTTTTTTTTTACGCATTGAATTTTTTTATATGTTTCATAGCTCCTTAGAATTAAAATATGTTTACGTTGCGGATAACTATTTTCTTTTTAATTTGATCTATTAGAATCATAAATTGGAAATTCTCGATTAATGGAGAAGAGTTAAATTATTTTATTGCTCAGCTTTTGAGTAATTATTATCCCATAATAAAAAAAAATATATCTATATATAATCATCTTGTGTATATACAATAAATTATTATATTTTATAAACTTTTTATCTCTCTTTATATCGGTTTTAGTGACCACCTGTAGTGGGGATCAGTTCCGTTGTCTGGATGGCGTCTGCTTGAGTATCGACAAGCGTTGCAATGGAATCCCCGATTGCCGCAACGGCGAAGATGAGAGTCAATGCGGTAAGCTAATTTGTTTCCTCCCCTCCCTCTTACAAACATGCATTTGTTCGATCGATTCTTACGTCTTGAAAGCGCGAACGGAATATATAAATGAGTTTTATTTTTTTTAACAATTAATGCTTTAAAAAATGCAGATTTCGACGGAGTCCAACTTGTACGTCTCCGTTGTTTCTGCCTTCGTCGTCTCTAACTGTGTCGTTCTCGCTCGTTGACAACGTGAATCCCACGTTGTCGCGCATTCGTAACTAATCGTGAGGTCAATAATCACTTTTGCACGCGCAACGATAATTCTGCCGCAACGGTTCCAGCAATAAGCCGCGATAAGCTTGCATCAATGCTCTTTGCCAAGTGTCGGTTACCCGACGCGATTATTCACGAGCGATCGAGAGGGGCGCCTGAGCTTAAACGAGCCTCAAACGCGCCTGCGAAGTTTAACAACAAGATTGCAGGCACTTTGATAAGTCTCGCGAGTAAACCTTAGCAGTGATCTCATTCGAATACATGCCTAACATCGTAGAAATAACGTTTGCAAAGATTGCGACTCGTACATTACGTATACATATTATCATCCTTTCCAAATTTCAGGTATCGCTATTTTTTTAATTTGCTTCGTCGCGGACGAAAAAATTTGTCTGTCTGTTATAACGGTGAATTATGTGGACAGAAATGTGTGTTTACGCTCGCATATATAATTAGACGCTGACGAGCGGCTCGAAGGCCCCGGCGCGGCGTCGGATACACCGTTGCGCCTCTGTAACGTGAATAACGTAAACTTAATTTTCTCCGGCACGCTCCGCGTGACTTTCGATTTACGATTTTCCACGCTGACCGAACTTTACCGCCCAGCGCGCAACGCCGAAAATATAACGCCTCTTTTTCCGAAAATAGTTTAGCCAATGTCGTTGCACCACTGCCTCACCTAATCCCAGGTCTCGTTGCAATCTAAACCCGGGGCCGCGCGCACGATCGGTCGTGTGTGAAGAAAGCGTCGAACTTTCGGGCATTCCCCGACCGGCGCAACTCCGGCTCGTTGCGTTACGACGTTCCTGTTACCTAAACGAGCTCGCCCTTTAATTAATCGATTTTTAAGCGAACCGCATCCCTGCAGCCGACACGCGTGGAGCGAAGACATCAATCCTCCAGCTGCTGATCGAAGATAAATTGATCGCGTAAAATGGTCCAATAGTCCAATATCATTCCGCCGCGATTGACTTATCTCCCGATTGAGAATGCAGATTGCTGGCCCTTCGCTCTTGTAAATTCCCTGTATATCTTCCCTCGGTGATGTACTAACCTCAGCAAAAGCAGCACAAGCTCGAAGCATCTCTCACGCCAAGGTAAAGGTGCGAACATCCCGCTTCTACCGTCCAGACGGTGTAACGCTATGCAAATCGTATGCCGACCCACACGGTGTCACCCGCACCGCGTGATCATAAATATGCCGCCGCCCGGCGAAATTATTTAGCGTCACGCCCGGTTTGTTCTCATCTTAAAGCATATTTTGGACGGCAGACTCGGGGTGTCGAAAGGGCTTGCTTGAGCCGCGCGCGATCGCGCGCGCGGCTCGCCGGAAGGGATCCCCGGAGGGGGGATGATGGAAAAACATCTTGAGGAACGGGGGCTGACGCGCGTCAGCGGTCGCGATGCAATCTTTAAATGCGCATGAGTGTATGGTGTATGGAGCAGGTTGCGGAGAAGCCGAGTTTCGCTGCACGGACGGCCGCTGCATCAGCTACGTGTTGCAGTGCAACGGGGTGAACGAGTGCTCTGACGGCTCTGATGAGAGGGACTGCGGTAATTATGCCACACCACACTCATCCCACACACACTCTTTCCCCCCTACAATACACAATACAGAAACACACGTACGCGTACTTACATCATACTCGCGCGAGTGCACGAGACAAGTCATTCAATAAATATTACACGGTAGGGCTTGTGCATAGAACGCAGACTTTTTCTCGGTTGTTAGAATTTAGAATCGGTTGAAATTGAGGCACTTTGCAAAAAGTAAAAAGAATCTGCTTTAAAGATAGTCGAAGATACTTTTTGATTTCTTGCTCGGTAAAAAATTGTACAAAACTCAATTTTACCAATACTTTTGTATTATTGTAGTTTAATATGTATATAGTACATAGTAGGAAGTCTAACACTAAAACCGAATTCAACCGGCTCGTCCTCCATCGATCGTGCTGACTTTCAAATACAACTTCCAAGCATTCCGCGTGATATTTTCGCCATTACATTCGCCCCTCTCTGCCGTAATCCCTTTTTAATCGTACTTATCGCGAAATCATGCGCCACCCGTAGAGAAGTATCCGTGGCGAAATTTCTATAACGCCGGAAAGTTCGCGATTGCACGGAAGTCGCCGGCCGCGATTTCCTACGGAGGGAAACTCGCGGGACGCCGAAGGAATATGAATATGCAGCCGGTGACGACGGAAAGCACCTATCGACTCACCATCAAACCAGCCGTGACGATCGGTAATCCGATCCTCGAAGCGTTTCCGGAGGAAGCTCAACGTGGAAGATTTCCAAACTCCATGTTGCAGAGTCCCTTGGCATTAAACTTGATAAAAATTGCGTCCAAATCGAAAGATAATAACCCGTCCTCGCAATGGCGTACGTACCTAGAGATTGATCGACCTCGTAAACCCGACGCGAATTGCAGCAACAAAGCTCAAAATTATCATTTGCCTGTTGACCAAGCCTTGTCGCAATTAAGCAACGAGTCTCAAATCTCAAAACCTCTCAAGCTGTCGGATAGTCTCGTGAGATCTTTGCAAATATTCCAGCACAACAATATTACGTTGAAAAATGCTCACTCGCAGTCTGTTAATAATCGCGATAGAATGCGAAAAATAATAACTGGAAGCAAGTCTGATCGTACACCAAAAAAGACCAACGCATTCAATTCGAAGACGAGTATGAATCGTTTAATCAGTTCCGAAGAACACAGGTACGCTACAGACAAGAATATTTTTAAATCAAAAATTTCGAATATCAAAAATACTTCCTTACAAAAAGAAGTAGAATATCAAAATGGCGACAAAGTTGACGGGATAAAAACGAAATTGGAAAGAAACGTGTCTAATAGAAATTATATTGACAATAATGCAAAAACGATGCATCACTCTAAAAACGCCACTTTAAAAGCTGCTACTCAACAGATTGATAAGTTAGTTTGCAAATATATTACAGACAAACATATGATATGTCGTCAAAATAATTCAACAGCCGCTACAGTTTCGATTAGGCCAATTTATATGACAACTTCTAAAATAATGACGGTGACAAATGAGACTAATATTAATGAAATCTCTAGTATGACAGATATACGTGGCAAGAGCAAGATTCTCAGAAAAAAACCACGCAGAAGGGACGGCTCATTTTACCAAAAATATCACGATAAGTATTTGAGAAAATTAATCGCTTCTAGAAAAGCAATCACTTCTACGATGAAAACGTCGACAGAGTCCGCAGTTGATGCGCGGACTTCAACAACGTTAAGAAATACCTCTTTGAAAAATCCCAATGTATTGTTCAATAAAACTTACGAACAACGAAATTCACTAGAAAATTATATTAAAGCAAAGAATAACAATCTGGATAGTAGGGAAGATTTTTTTGGATACAGAGTAAAAAAAGGCAGTAAAGTTTCAAATTATTATAATAAACATCTGAAACACAGACGCCGCGTTGCGTCATCTAAAAGAACAGCCCCTGTAACTGTGAACACGAATAAAATCGAAGAATCTACCATGACGAATATAAAATACGATCGAGCGCAGAAAGCAGCTTCGTCCGTTTCAGAAGAAATGTCCTCAACGGCAGAAACAAACAAGACTGATTATTCCTCGATAGAGACAGAAAAGTTGCTGTATGAATTTAATTCGCCGAAGGTAGAACGTCAGTATTTTCCAACAATCAATGCCGTTGACGACGTCGATATAACATCAAACCTGTCAACTTCGAATCGAAATCGATGTAATAAAACGTGCAGTAAAACGCACAAGCAGTCGAATGTCTCTTTCGAGAAGTGCTACGGAAACAACACAAAAACAACGACGCAAAATGACGACAAGATCGATTCCGGATTGATAAATTCCGACGAGACGTCGAAATCAGAAACTGCAGATAGTGCAGATGATTGCACGTACATGATATCGCGAGAATCGAGGGAGAGTCTGGAATCATCAAAAGATGATTTCGACGTCCTGATATTAAACTCCACGACAACGAGGTCTCCCGAGATCGTCACGCGGGTTGCAAACGAATCCGGAGAGAAAGCGTTCACTGAAAGTCACGGCAAACGCGAGCACAAAAGTCATAATGGCCGTAAGAACAACAGGCCCAAGAAGAGGAAGAAGAATCACAATGCGAAGCGTAAGAGAAAACCGACGTCGACCGTCGCTTGGAAAGTCGACGAGATGACGAGCGTCGATTATGGCAACGCTTATAGTTCAGAGCGGACGAAGACTACGCTCCCTCATAATGATCCACGGTACGACAAAGCTGACGGTAATCGGAATACGAGCATTGGCAGAAACGACTGGGACCTCACTGATGAAATTACAACGGAACCTTTTAAGACAGAATTCTCTGACGCTGATGAGTCCGTCTTGGAAGACCCCACGGAAGGCAGCGGCATTCGCAACGGACCACAATCGGAGGAAACAACGAATGTGAATCTTGTCACCAGCAGCAGCATATCTCATTTATCAACGGCATCCAATGAGAAAGGTTCTAAAAAATGTAAAGTATTAGTTACAACTACTACTGAGAGCAACTGGTTTAATTGGTTGTCAAACGATGACAAAAAGATAGACGAAGAATCAGTTGAGTGCGAGGAAGATAATACTTCGTTTTCGACCACAAACGATTCGATAGAAAAAGAAACAAGTAAATATAGTACTTCTGTCAGTGATGACTCTTCCACGTACGACACGATAACTAAATCAGGCAGTACTACGTTGTCCTGGGAATTATCTAACGAAGAAAATAAGGAGATAAGCAACGAAGAAATAACCACAATACGTAGTACGATTAAAGACGAAGGAAGTAACGACAAAAGACAAACGACAGGTAAATCAATCTTGGATGAAGAAAGTTTCACACAATCTGTGATCGGAGGTACTATACACGATGTGAATCTCGATAGCGAAGAGGAAAAAGACGCGACAGAGAAATCGATATCCGACGAAGACAACGAGATCGACAACGACGTCGCGGCGATCACGGAGGATTACGAGATCGACAATTGCAACGAGAATCAGCACGCTTGTGATAAGTATACGTGCATCGAGGGGGACCGGGTCTGCGACGGTGTCGTAGATTGTCTTAATGCCAATGACGAGACCGATTGCGATTACATATACTTCAAGAGGTGGGAAGAGTATCTGAGAGTTAACAAACGTGTTGAGACCACCTCGTCGAACACTGTCGAAGACACGTCGCCTGACGGATGCAACCGTTACGAACATCCCTGCGACGGCACATGCGTAAACGCGCTGAATGTCTGCGATGGCAAGGAGGACTGCCTGGACGGTACGGACGAAGAGAACTGCACCGAAGGTATTATGTAAAAAATACTATCCTGCGAGAGTGGACGTCTCGTTTCTCGCTCTTCGTCCACGCTGTAAAACATTTCTCGCCTCAAACGGAAACGTCACGTGAAACTCCAAGCGAGCGTGGCGTCATTTCGGGACCTGTTATCTTCGCTGTAAAGAAAATGGCTTTGAAGATATCAAATTGGCTAATGTGTGGACGTCCTTGGGCAAACTGCCGAGATCTATCGCGGCAAGAAATACTTGGGAATATTATTTCCGGCTGTATATACATACTTGGGTTCTCGTGTTTAAGCTGTTCTTATCTGAAGAACTGCAGAAGACCCGCTTCGACGACGTTGGAAATCCACGTCGTCTATTATATGTTACGCAGCTTTGGGGAACAAACGTGTTAACAAACGAATCACGGATAAGTAATAACTTTGCGTTCAATGCGTAAGAGTGCACGCATTACATTGTGTTGTCCACTTTCGCTGTAAAAATATTGCCTTCCGCGGGGAGGAAACTGTCGAGGATGTGTCGAATAACAGCCAGACGGTGATCCTTAAAGTGCAGTGACCGAACACTATCTTATCTCTCATTAGACGATTATCTTATCTATTTCTTATTAGACTCGAAGCTCTTCGCTCAGCCTGAAAGAGGATTTACAATTAACGCTTGCGGGAATTAGTATCGATGCGTCAGAGTCAACGGCTGCGTTAGTCATTCTGCATACTGCAGGCATACGGTCAGCCGACAATATTTTTATATAGTCGCGATTAGATTGCCAATTGAATATCCGCAAGGGCAAAACGTGAATCCTCTTTTCTCGGATGTATGAAGAACATCTCATTTCATTCATTCCATCCTTTGGCATCATCGTTGTGTCACGCATTACTCGTTCTCTTCTTTCCCACAAGGATATCACAGAACACAGATTCACTTTTTTCTCGCAAAAAGCGGCATCTCAATGACACTCATTAGAGGATCACTTCCGGTAATGACGATACGCAATCCACACGACACACGTATACCCGAACATAGTTTAGGAGTTGGAGTAAAGGAGAAGGTAAAGAAATATGAGACAATATTGAAACTTTAGAACGCCGCGCGTGAAGTTTGAAATTAATATAATATATAGTTCATTGTACGAAATGTTTGACTCAAGAACATGATGATTTCGCGTTGTCTCATATTCCGGCCTTGTCTTACAATTGAAATAATTCTAACCACTATCAAAAGGCTTCTCACGACGCTTTAAATGTTAGACCAAGCTTTAAGATATAATAAGATCTCTTGGTTACAGAACCATGCGTTTTACCAAAGATGCTTTTCGTGTACAGATTTACCGAGTCCTCTACCACGCCTAAAACTGCTTTAAATGTCTCTTCATATGTTCATAGCTTGTACATACTCGTACTTCAACCTCGAATTCGTCTGTCTCTCAATCGCCAATATAAAAAAAAATACTTTCTCATTATTGCAAAGTATTCTTTTACAAAATATAAATTGAATATTTATTTCTCAAGTACAGTAATTATGATTTTAACATAACGATATGACATTACTTAAAAAATTACTTTTTACATTTATTTATTTTAATAGCACGATACAGATCGTCATAAATTAATATGGCTCGAATTAGTCCTGATTTCCAAAGTTTAATTCGAAAGTCCGCTAAAATCGCGGCGACTGAACGGCAGAATGCGAGACGCGAGAGTTGATCAGAAGGATCCTTGTTTTTTTGCCGACATGGCGCTCTGTAGGTTTGGCCCCATGCCCTTCCACGGACTTCACCTGCGGGGATGGCTCTTGCATACCGAAGAGCTCGGTCTGTAACGGATTCGACGACTGCCCCAGGGCAGAAGACGAGCTTAATTGCGGTACATAACCATGTATACCTTTCACGCTACTCGATGTCGAAAGACAGAGAGAGAAAGAGAGAGAATCTGAATGAAAAAGAGGATAGGTAGTGCATGGATGACTTGCTAGCCGTGCTAGCGTAATATCAATCAATGTTTTTTGACGTTTAATGCAACTCGAGCTTTAAAAAAAATTTTTGGAAGTGAAACATAATATTTTCGCTGCGTTTTATCGGTATCGTTACGCGAACAATAACAAACGGCGCGATGGAATTTTACAAACGGGCAGAAATTGATTTCGAATAATTGGCGCGAATTATTTATTCGCACTGTTATGGCATTCGATTCGATAGGCGGTTTGGGCAAAATATTCTGTGGCCATCGTTGAAATTACGTAATAAACGATTTTATTAATAATTTTATTCCTGTTAATCCTTTTTTAAATGAAGTTTTAATGATGAAGAGTCCTGGGAAAAGAACGCTATTCAGAACGTTTTATTGTTCCCTAATTACGTTCTTCATTATTGAGTCTGGATTGAGATAATTTGTTGACGATTAAAGAGATGCACTATATCTGATTTGAACACAAGAATGTGAATTATGATTCGTCTAATTCTTTCTCTCTTTCGCCACTCTGTTTTTATTTCCGAAACCTTGCTTAACTTGCACCCATAACGCTTGCCCATTGGACCAATCGCTTAATAATTTCACCTCGTTGGATTTAATCACGGACTTGTTCCGCGTTGATTAGATCCTAATTACAGAGCTTGAATTCGGATCCAACGCTAAAGTAACCAGAGCCAACAATTTTAATCGCAGATTTCAAATACACGTGACACGTTTCAATTAATACATTAGTCTTTGTGTATATAGAAATTTGTCAAAGAAATGTCAATTTTAAAATTAATAATTGTCATAAACGTTGTTTTGACAATTATATTATTTATAATTCAATTGGAAATAAAAATCGTATTAAATAAAACGTGTGAGTGAAATCTGCGTTTAATGTCACAGCACATACGATCTATATTATAATTATATAAATAACTTTATCATTATCCTTAACGCAATTCCAATTACCCTACGAATTTTTCTGTAGAAGATGCAAACAGTGCCAATTATTTCGAGTATATAATTTATGTAGAGAACAAACGTAATTTTTAATACAATACGATTAATTTATGAGGTAACATAATCTTTATTATTATCAGGACAATTCAATTATTACGATATGTTAAACGTAAAAAAATTTAATATAATATTTTAACATATAAAATGCAATCCGCTCAAATGATTTCTCATTCGTATCCAAGCCGCGAATTTTTCTATTGAATTTCACTGAGAAAACGCGCAAGTATTATGCAATGTGGCATGGAAACCACGATTCTTTCCGCGAAGTTTGATTCTAAATACCGGAATACCCCGTCGGCTGACAAACGACATCATAATAGGGGACTATTATATACATTTACGGGGGAGCTTAATAATCGTGTATCCTCCCGCAAAACTATGGTCGATCGCGAAAGGAAAGCTATACATTTATCGTCACGACACATTTTTCGCCCGTTGCACGCGACATCGTAATTCGCATTAACCGATACAGCGAGTTATTTTTCACGAGCGTTTCATCCGACTCGGCACAGAAGATGGGCTCGTGCTCCGTAAACGTGAGTCGAAAATAATTTCTCAATTCTCCCTCATCTATATCCCGCAAATCGTAAAATAACCGTTAAATAACGCTCTCGTTGACCCAGAAGCAGCTTTTTTCGCTTTTCGCGTTGTGACAACAGATAGCAGAGGCTATCAATTAAAGTAAAGGAAAATCTCGAGAAAAAAAAACCTCGAGACCGACGACCGAGTCACGTCGTCGGGACACGTCAATGCGTGTGTGCGGCGCGCTTTCCGCTTCGATCTAGTATACGTATATGTACACGGAGTGATTGTATATATGTGTAAAAATGTGTGTGTTCTTTGCGCATATGTTCGCTGAACAAAACAAAATACAGAGCGGGAATGCACGCCTAACCAGTTCAAATGCGCCACCGGGAACAAGTGCATCGAGGACGTCTACAGGTGCGACGGCTATCCGGATTGTCCAGATCACAGCGACGAGAACTGCCCTCCGTCCGCTAACGACACTACACACACCACTTCGCCTACCACCAGTACGCTCCTTTTTCAATGTGTCCATCGCTTCGTTCATAATACATTCGTGCAACCTCGTCTGGCGTGTGCCCGCTATCGCTACTTCGATTCCTTTGTATAAACGATCGAAATCTTCTATCAACTCAATCGTATAAAAAATTGTGTAAAAGTAATAATAAAATAGCGAATTTATTTTCGTGCTTTTGTTGGAGATACATTAAAATCGAACGCGTGTCTATGTTGTAAAAAAAAAATTATCGTAGCTACCGATGATAGTTTTCTATATTATTTTACTTTGTATAATTATTTAAATGTTCTTTCCTCACAAACGCGATTGGTTTCAGTTGCTTATACACAGTTGCTTGCATTCTACGCAGCCTTGTTCGCTGCGAGAAGTTAAAGAGTAAAAATGGGAGATTTGAAAAATATCTTCGGGCTTCGGTGTTGCGAGTAAGTTGTCCGCCTTCGCCTTCCGAGGTCCGTAATGTTTGGTTTCGGTCGAATCCTCTTAAGGAACTCTTATTTACGCGGGACAAGTGGATCTACCTGCCCGAGCGGTTACACACTCGACGATGGTTGTATTTCATTGTGCATTTCTCACGATCAATCGTTACGACCGTGGTCGAGAAAGCGATTCTTCGTCTTGTTGCTTCTCTAAAGACCCCGACGGCCATTGTAACATTCGTTTTACCGGACCGGGAGAATATATACTTACGAGACGCGACTGCTAAACTTTATCGAGGCAACTTATTGAAGATGTAGAAGTATTTCTTTTCCTTTCCACTTTTTTCTTTCTTTCTTTTTTTTTTTTCTTCCGTTCTTCAACAAACCCGAGTTCTCGACAACGGCTCTATTTTATCGTACCACCCGAGTGCGGAAGGGTCGGAACACACCGGAAACGTATTACCCCGCGAATCCCCGTGTATACGGAAGATTCACGGTGATCGTCGACGGTACTCACGGCCCGTCCGCGCCGCAAATCGCGCGTTATAAAGGCAACCTGCAGATATATACGCTATATATGCATTGATATACAAGTAGCTGCATTACGCACGAACTTGTGTGCTCGGACGCAGATGACGGTGCTTGATAAAAGTGCCCTTAATCGTGTGTTTGAATATTTCTTCCCCTGTGCGAACTTTAATATTCTTCCCAGCGGCAGTCCACTAATTGCCGATGGGATAATAAAAAGATCAAGGGTAGAAAATTTGGGGAGCTCGATCAAAAGGCACTTTTACACAGCAACGTTTGTATGATTCTGCTTGCGGACTGCGTATCCTCCTTTTAGTTTCTTCGTTGCATCATTCTCAGTTGCATTATGGTTGCATTTGTATGATAGAAAGTAAGTGCATTACGTTTCGCTGCGGGTGTGTCTTTAAATTTTATCTCTGGCCGCTCGATGCTCCTTTCTCTCCGCTGCGAATTTCCCTTGAATGTGCCTATGTGTCTATTACTACGTTTACGCGAGCGTTACTTCTGTAGTAACTTACGATATATCACTCGTTTACGCGGAGTAAATTATCGTAAGTTACTACAAAATCCCGTTTACGCGAAGGAATTATCGTAAGTTATTACAGAAGTAACGCTCGCGTAAACGTAGTATATGTGTGTGTGTGTGTGTGCGCTCAGACCCGCTCGATCCACGCTGGACACCCGAACGCAGGAGGGAATGCGATCCGAGGAAGGAGATGCGCTGCGATGACGGCAGTTGCATTCTTCTACGGCGTAAATGCGACAATATCTTCGACTGCCTCGACGGCAGCGACGAACGGGGCTGCGGTAAGGGCTTTACCTCGTTCTCACAGCCCATCCTCTTCCTCTCCTTTCCGCATACTCGTATTAACGATGACAAATGTTTCCTGATTTCCTCTCGCCGCGCGTACTCATATTAACGATGACGAACGGTTCCTGATCTTACAAGCCCGAGGAAACCACTTTTTTTCCGGTTAAATAAAAAATCTTTATATATGATTTCATTTTAATATCTATATTTATAATGATTCGCTAATATTCTTTTTCAATACAATATTGAGACAAATTGTTCTAAATAAGTTGACATAATTCTTTTTCCATTAATAAGAAAATGCTCTGTCTTCCTTTTCTGTTTCTGTAATTTTAATTATTTTTAATATCGTCAAAAGTTATATTAAGAAACGTGTGAGATGAATTTTATTCAGTATTTTCCGCGTAGAAATATAGTGCTTTATCGAATGCGATGTCAAAATCTCTACTTATATATCAATAATGCTTGCCCCATCGACAATTCAATCTAAATATTTATTACTGATAGCTCAATATTTCCACGAATATTCAGTAATGCCATTCAAATTAATTACATACTTATAACTGACATAGCGAAGACTTATAAATTTTCAATAATTATTTTATTCCAATAACTTCCCTGAAGATTTATATAATTTCTAATAATTTTTGAATGTTATAAAATTTTTATATTTGAACAATTTCTTTAATCCTCTTTGATAATTTAATTGAAACTTTTTTCTGTCTCCATCGAAATTTTCATTAATTTTATTCAACGCGACGCATGCTTAAGTGACGTTGATTATAATGACACCGTTGATGATTCCTCATTATTCCCCAATCCCAAATGCTTTCTGCGAGAGCTTTCATGTCTGTGTCATAAAGGGGTGTGCACACCTGCCGAGTGGAAGTGCGCCAGTGGCGAATGCTTGCCAGAAAACCAAAGGTGCGACGGGATAACGCAGTGCAGCGACGGATCCGATGAGGATCGATGTGGTAATTATATGACACAGCTTTCGCCCGCAATCGTCCACAAAAATGGCCTTCTCACTGCTCTTGCTCGTTAGCCACAGTCGCACGCTGCAAAACTTTTACAGATTTACATCCCCCTCTTACGAGAAGAGTATCGCAGGTTCCCATTTATTCATGATTCGCTAGAATCCTCGAATGATTTCTTATCCACTCAGATGTGATATTAATTATACGGCATGTTACGAAATTCAAATTTGAATTATCTAATAATGTATCTCTCCTATCTTAATTAATGCCTGCATAGAGTAATGGAAAATTAATTACTTTATTTTTCTGACTTGTGTACAAATTAACTGTTTTCGTTCGTTATACAATAACTGCATCATCATTCCCATCTTAATCTGAATATCTCCTAACGAGTTTTAATTCCTTTACGAGCCAAGAGCATATTTGAGTGTATTTGTTATTGAGTGTCGTTAAAATCCTGAAATCCCCACATCAAAACTTATAATACTCTGCATGGAACGATTTTTTACTCGACATCGCATTCTTCTTTTGCAAAAGGAGTCTCGCATGTTGCATTTTATAAGTATGGCGCACGTGTCTCTCTGGGAATATAACCGGGTGTGTATGAATATTCGGAAGCGCATGATAAAAAAACTCCCGTAAGTAGTTCACGATAATATTAATTGGACGATGCAAGAAGAGTGAATATCCCGATGAGTTCACGTGAGGATTGACCGTTCTACTGTACACTTTGCCTTAGAAACTTATTAGAGCAGAGTGGCTGGTGTACTCGGCAAAGTACAATAATATACGACTAACAAGGGTGACAAGCAGCGTCTATTGCGTATGATAAGAAACGCGTAATAATTCACGCGAGCATCCCCACGTTTGTGTTTAACACTCAAATAATCGTAGAGACTTTATTACTCATTATCTTTATCAGTCTAACAGTATCGTTGATAGAAATCTCTTCGAGAAGATAAATTAAACTGAATAATTTTTTCAATAAATACATATAATTGAGAAGTATATATATTATTAATGGTAATAAATAAATTTGCTAGTAAATAAATAAAAATAATAAAATCCGTAATTAAGCGACCCGACTGGCCAGTTTACATTAAACTCACCGTGAGTTAGAATAAATCTGAACTGGCCAGTTCAGATTAATTTCGGGGTCGCTTAATTTCGAATTTTATTATTTTTATATATATTATATTTAATGCTATGTGCGAGGTTTTATCCTTCGAGGAAAGGATTATAAAGAGAAATCTGAATAACGGTACACTGTAAGATCAATATTTGTTGAAATATAGGTGTTTCCCTTCTTGCATTATCTTCGTCAGCTACAAGTGAAAGAATTAAAGCAATTTGCATACCGTTGCGATTACCCAAGTGTTAACAAAATAAGTTATTGTCATACGTGTGTCAGTTTCTCTAGTCTTACACGTTATTCGATTATCTTGAGCAAATACGGGACCCTGCAGTGGTAAGGCCATTTTTTATTCTCTCTCTCTGCCCCCCCCCCCCGTATGGGTAGCATGCACGATAATACTCGACATGGAACTTGGTAATTATTGTAGTAACCGAATGTCCGGCTGGGTGGTTTCGATGCAACGATGGATTGTGCCTCGACATTAAGAGACGTTGCGATGGCCGGCCGCATTGCTTGGACGGCTCCGACGAGATCAATTGCCCTCGTAACAGTGATTTTTAATTTTGCTTTATTTCACGTGCCGAGGACGATATAGACCTAAGCCACACGCCTGGAATCACGACTTGATACAGTAGTTCCGACAAGGTGCTGCTTTTTAGTTACCTTTTACTTGAATGACATAGCAGTATCTTCGATAGTATTGCATTATCTACAAGTTAGAGCACAAGTCAAAGCTATTATGAAATTCTTCGTTAATTTCATCTTTTTCTTTTTAGTCACATTGGACACTTACTTTTTGTTACTTAGGTCTGTGTCCTTCTTAGCGCATTACTTATGTTGATGATAGTCCGCACGAAGAAAGCTTACCGTTAATTTAACAATTAGTTAACGAGATTTGATAGCACAAATAGACTCTGTAATTATAGTTATAGTATCAATCGAAATGGTAATTTTTCTCCATGCGCTATTCTATTCTTAATCTCTCTCTCTCCATAACATTACTTCCTCCTCTTTTGCCCCTCTGAACTATTTTCCATCAGCATTCTCATCATGGGTCATAATACTTCCTGCGACGTATGGTATTCTTGTTATGGGCATATGATACTTATTCTTAGCGAATTAACAGTGAATGAATGCGACCAATTGCCAATTCATTTGCTCGTGAATCAGTTTTGCGTGATTTCATCGTAATGTTACTAAAAAAGGTGCTCAATGATGTGTGTTTCAGTGTTCGAAGGCTTGAAATAGATACAGGATCAAGTGCCGCGACTGTCAAACTTGTCTCTCTTCATTTCTCGGCACTTGAGCTTATTTCCATTTCAAATCTTCATTTCGTTTTCTTTATCTTTGTCAATAAAGTTCCTCAATTCTAACATGGCGAAATTGGCTTTTTCGCTCTCGCGCGTATTATCGCGAGACAAAAATCGCAGACTTAGTTTCTGAAGGGTAAGTTTGCGTGCTCCACCTTTCGCGTCGTTTCGCTTGCACGGCGAGACAAAGACAAAGGCGGAAAGATGCAGCATGCGAAACCCAATCGAAATCCAATCGTGCGTTCAGCCGATCTTCTGAGTAAGACACTTGTCATACACGATCGACTTCTCCGCGAATCTCTCACGCGAGATGTCGATCGTGCGAGACGTTAATAAACGACGCGACGGTTACGCGAAGGCTCCTGCAGCTGCAGCAATTGCAGCAGGCGGCAACTGCGACGGTGCCGCCGGCCGGCTCGTATACGACTTGTCGCGCGCACGTCGGTGTTCAAGTCGGCAATTAAGAGGCTGTGTAACTAATACGGGCGCACGGGCGTGTACACACGTACGCGGAAGCTGTTAATCTCATTTCGTCGCCCTGTATCGACCGTTCGGGCACGTTTTAGCCGGACGTTGACTGGCCATTAACTCGAAATACCGACGTGTCGCGGCATCACTTGTCGTAGTCCAGTAGTCACCTCTGGAACGACTCTGTCAATGGACGGATGAATCGAGAAATCAATTCGTCGGGGGATTCATTCCCGCGAAACTCGACTGCCGACCGCGAAACTCGGGAATTGCTTTCGAAGTGTTCGAATACCTTCCTAATCCTCTTTATCGTCGCACTGACTTAGCAACGTGATTAAAGTGGCGCGAACGTGGGAATTAGCTTCAACGTTTTCTTCGCCGAGAATAAACAAGTTATTTTATAAATCTTTAATTGCGCTCTGAAAATATGAGTATAGCTAGAATGGAATGAAATAAAGAGAGAGGAATAGGAACACCCGAATTCAAACAATGATAAAGCCAAGTTTCCCGTTTCGCAGTTTGGAGATTCGTAACTTCCCGAGAAATGAATTCCCGAAAGTAAATCCCTTTCGATTCGTCTCTCCCTTTGATATGTGGTCAACGATTTCTCTTTTTATGTTTTAGCATTATACGTATCTTGTTACATTTTAGTCGAGACACAATGAGATAACAATAAAGATCTGAGGGACAAATCGATAATTAAGAAACGACCGGTTCATCGTTATCATTGTTATATTCTTACATTTACCGGTCTCACTCGTATATTTCACTGTGTCTTGGTTCTTATATAGCTGTTTGTGCCTTGGATATTGGATACTCAATAACATATACTTGCGTAACATAACATACATCTTGATTACGCGCTCTGACTTCTTGACATGCATTTTGCATCGATTATGGATGGGATCGAACTAACTCTACCTATTCTTCACTTCTCTCTGTCTTTCTATACTTGTCTATCTGTATCTATTTACTATCTATCCGTCTATTTTCAGCACCAGGTTGCCTGATCTTTGAATTGCGCATCTACTTGTATATATACATATCTATATATATATATATATATATCAGTGTATACAAATTGCATATGTATATATACCTTTCTCTGATACCCTTTTACCTCCGGTTATTTACGTCTCCGCAATTTTCCACGCCGCGCGCTGACGCGTGCACAAACCGCGCTCCGCTGTTCCCGTATATACAGCGCGTTAAAAGCTCGCGACTGACGTAACGCGAACTTTTGTAAATGTCACGTTTTACGCGGTGGTCCTCTGCCACGTTTGAGAAACTAAGTTTAACCTGTTTATTAATATATAGAAAAAAAGGCCGCACACGCGTTCCCCGTGAAAAGGTCCAAGTGGGACTGGGTTTAATATAAATTGTAAAACGACATTTATACGCGGGGTTCGTGTTATTATAAATTTCTCAGATTACGATACGGTTCAGCGAAATATGGCACGACCACGCGAAATTATATAGATTGGAACGTCTGAAAATTATACGGCTTTTTAACAATTTTGTTCTCTCTCGGTGATTGTCGTTTAATCAACCGAGGTGAATGCGTGCACGCGGCATCGCGCGCGGCGCCGTCTCCGTGTTTCTTGAAATAATACGACCACGCGGCAATGTGCACGATACTTATTTGACGAGGTGTGCGCTCCGGCGCACTTTTTATCGCCCCTCGTCTATCGCGGGAGGAAGCACCACCTCTCGCGGGACTCTTTATCGATCGATAATTATCGAAGGCACTTGGTCAGCCTCGCGCATCTAATTTCCTCCGTGAAAGGGGTGAGGGTTTAACACGCCTGCATTGCACACATCGAAGCCGAGGTGTTCGCAATGTTTTTTCCGGCTGACTCATACCGAGGGGGTGGTATTCTTCCGCGGCACCTCGTCTCGATGACCTGGCGAGACAGGAAGAATGGCCGCCCGCGGAATGATTGTTATTGCACAAATGTGCCACATTGTGCACATTGTCGCTTCGTACTCCGTTCACACGTGTACAAAAGGATCTTTCCGCGCGTATCGTTTGCGTTCCCTCCCCGCCCTTATTTGCCATTCAACGGAGTTGATTGGTTTTTGCAGACTGCCCCGCCGGTCAACTACCCTGCGACAATGGCGTCTGCATCAATAAGGACTTCTTCTGCGACCACAATGTCGACTGCCTCGACGATAGTGACGAACGAAATTGCCGTAAGGATATCTTTGGATATAGATACATTTTTCCGCTACCTCACCGAAACTTGTTATGTTCGACGTATACATTCAAATATTCTACAAAGCACCCTACACCCTGTTACGTGGGATATTTTTTAAATAAAGTATATCGATGTGTATTTTGAAATTCGAAGTGTCAACCCGAGGTTTTTCATTGGTCAGATATTTACGGAAAATTCTTTTCTCTGTTCGGCGAATTTTTATTCAAAAATCGCAGCTTCGAATAAACCGCGGTGTCGTTTCCATTTTTTACAGCGGATAGCGGAGAGACCGGCGGTTCAGGCCAAGAATGCCACCCCGACGACTTCACCTGCAGCGACGGCAGCTGCATACCTCGAGCTGCAGTGTGCGACGGACGTGCGGATTGTCCGCGCGACGAGGACGAGATTAATTGCCATCGAGGTAAGTCAATCTACGGGAAATCGGCGCATCCGGCCGCGATATCCCCCTGCGATTGTCTTCACCGTAAAGATGAGTTAATCTAGGTCCGAGAAAACGATCCTTATCGATAAAATATTCAGAGGATGGATATACGGAATTCAGGCCTATATCGATTTAGCCATCGGAACGTATTCGTGAGCCAGGACTTAAAATGGGCGCGTGGATTCGAGGACACGCAAGTCTTTTTTCCTCGGTTTATTTAGCCTCGTGTCATTGCCAACACATGTATATAGCGTTGAATAAATAATTTCTCGGGCGAGGTTTAAAATTTAATCCCTCGGTTATATACTTTGCGCAACGAGCAAGTTATTATTATGGTGGTAATCTCCGTAAGCCGCGTATGGTGGTAAGCCGCGCGTAGCCTTGCCTCTTTCAAAATCGTCCGTCTAAATAAATCTTACTTCCAAGATTCGAGTCCGAGGGGAAGATGATACTTGGGATATGTGAATAAAGCACGACGCAACCGCGCGTGCTTGTCTCAGAAACTACTTTATTGCATCCGGGCTCGCTTTAAGTCCTGATTACGCGTATACGCGTCCCCGGCGAGAAGAGGGCTTTTATCCTCGAGATTTTCGGGCGTATACGGCCGTACGCGAGTTGCGGCCGCGTCGCCAATACATCAACACCGAACACACGACCGCGTTGATACAGCGCAGCTCAGATTGAGTTACTTCTAGGTGTAGACGCCTCGGAGGGTGCCTCCTCGAGGGGGCGTCCAGAGACGCCGGGGGTGGTAGCCGGTGTGAATCCGGACGATAACGCGGCTTACAGCCCAGACACAGATGCAAATGCTGATGTGCCGCCGACAAATCTGAGCACGCCGAGGAGTTGTGCTCCGGATGATTTTGTTTGCGCCGACGGCACTTGCATCCCCGAAACCCACCACTGCGACCATTTCTACGATTGCCGCGACTTTACCGACGAACAGTACTGCTTCGGTTAGATTATTTGTAGATCTCGAAAATCTGGTGACACGCACACCCCACGCGTCGAAGTCTCGCGCGATTCCGTTTTCTTCCTCCCCCGACACGCGGCCCCGTTGATCAAATTTCGCGATTACGGCGAAGAAGTCGTTCGTACGTCGATGCCTCGACGTACGAACAATTCTTCGTGTATCTATGAATTTATATTGGCATTATACTGTCGCGTGAATAACATAAAAAAGTTTTATGCGAAGAGAAAATTAGTTCTGTCTATATTCTTTTTAATAATTCATTTTAATGGCATTTTGGTTGTCGCGTTATTTTACTATTGGAAAACTGATTTTAACTGATTCGCTAATTTTCAGTTTGTAATAAATATTCCCAATGTCCCAATTCTTGAATAAATTTCTGTGAAATTTCTCTGTAAATTTATATTTTTCATAAGTTATGGTATTTTTCTTAAACATTTTGTATAGTCCATTTAAATGTCAAAATTCTTATCCGCGAGATATTTTTAAGTACCCAAAAGCACCAGATTCTCTCAGATCTATGTCCTTTTCTGCCAATCTGTGTTAGCAGCTGAATAGAAGATGTGTAGGTTGTTCCAGTAGAGACTTGATTATATTTCTGAAACTTATAATCGCAGTCTTATATTACTTATTACCCGGCGCATCTTTATAAACAATAGTGCATCTCTGCCTGACGTAAAATTTAGATCGTTTATTTTTCTCGTAGGTAGAACGTTTGGTATATAAATCCTATTTGGCATGCACATATCACGAGGAAAGTACATTTTTCATCTGTATATTTTTGCGCGTTACATTTCAGCAGAAAAAAAAGAAAATAATTTAAAGAAATATGACATTTGACGCCATTATTTAATAACGTCCGCGTGTATCATTACTATCATTGGTCGAAATTGACAAATTTATATGTAAATTATATATATTAAATGGACTATAAATGTCTTTCCTCCTGAGTTCCATATTAAAGTTATATTGAATGACGAATTATATATAAGTGTTCGTAGATGACGATCAGTGCACACAGTATAAAAAAATTAAAACGCGTAAAGATAACGTTGCATTAGTTCGTCGATTCTGTGCTGTGTGAACTGATTCCCCGATATACGGTCTAGATTCTGGACCAAAGCTGTCTCCAAAATTGGTGACGGTATGCCGCTAAAAAAAAAAAAGGCGAGGCGAACTAGAAAGGACGCCTAGTGAGACAGCTCTGTTCTAGATTACGTTTAACAGTCTTTTCTAGGTAATGAAAGTCTCTTTATCTCCATCGTATTTATATTTCGACGTTAGATCATTGTTTAGATTAGTAATGACGGACATATGATGGCTCCATTGGCTGACCTTTTACATGTATCTGTGTCTCATCTATATCGTTTCTTTAACGGACCGACGACTCACGGTTGTCTCGTTAATGTGCAACGCAATATTCTTATTTTAGGATGCTCGCGGGACCAGTTCCAGTGCGCCAATGGAGATTGCATCCGCGCCGATCAAAGGTGCAACGGATACATCGAGTGCGCCGACGGTTCCGATGAACCGGAAGAATGCGGTGAGGAGGAAATCAGCAATATACTCGCGTTATTTTAAAAATGATAATTTAATAATATATTTAATAATTTTTAAGTTAATAAAAGAAAAGTCGAGGTATACAACTAGACGCAGATCCGTATATACACGGAAAAAAAGGATTAGCAACTGGAGCTAAAACTTAGCTGTGACAGCTAAGATGTGTCGCTATTCTAGGGACAGCTGATGTTGTTGCTGTCCCAGCTAAATTTATTCGCTATTTAAACTTAGCTACTATAGCAACAAATTTTTGCTACAACAGATCAAATGTCGCTTAGCTGAATTATCTACTTTAGCTACTTAGCTTATTAGCTAAGCCTTTAGCTTATTAGCTACTTTTTAGCCGCTTGTGCTAAATTACGTTTTCTATTTCAGCTAATAAATTTTTACGTGGCAGCTAATTACTTTTTCCTATAATAGCCAAAGTTTAGCTACGATACTAAGGTGTTAGCTCTTACAGCTAAGCTTGATTCAGCTACTGGAATTTAGCTACTATTGCAAACTCATTTTTTTCCGTGTATCAACGTAACTTCGAAATAACTTATAAACGTAGAGTTGCTGTGAGACGGCAGTTTAATATACAGTTCTTTAACTGTACCTCTTAAATCTTATTTTTAATTTTAATAACTTTAAATCTAATTAAAATATTTCTTAAATCTCTTTTCACTTGTGTTTTTTTAGAGCCGCCACCATCACCGTCAGGTCGATGTGCCGCGGATCAATATATGTGCATTTCGGATAGAAGGTGTGTTCCATCGTCCTCCGTCTGTAACGGAATCTCAGAATGCCGAGATGGTTCCGATGAGCATAATTGCGGTAAGTTATCGATACGTTTCAATAATAACAGCCCTCGTATATAAATACGTTAAATAAATATATTAAATCGCCAAATAATAGCGCTAGACGAGATCGCGAATTCTACTTTGAATTGCTAAATAAGAATTAATAAAATTGACGACGCGGCTTCCTGACTTAACTCTCGGCTAGTCGTCAAGATAGTCTAAGAAACTCCTGCGAAAACGCAGCATAATGACACTCGCACATTTAATGACGAAACTAAAGATCGCGAATGCTCGCACGGGGAATGGAGATGCAAGAGCGGCGATTGTATACCTGAACACCAACGTTGCGATCGCCGGATCGATTGCCCGTACGACGACAGCGACGAGTTGGGCTGTCACTATAGGGCGACGCAAAGAAATCATAGTAGGTGCAGCGCGCACGAATGGATGTGCAATGACGGTCATTGCATCCCGCTGCATCAGCGATGCGACAAAAGGCTCGACTGTCCTAGAGACATGTCCGATGAGATGGATTGCAGTTATGATAATTGTGAGTCCCTCCCCCCCCCCTGTAGTTAGTCATCCGGAGAGCGGAGGCCGCCTTCGGGAAAAGGGGACCGCACAGCCGGCCGATAACACGCCATGCGCTAATCAATAATACCTTGTAAATATCCATGACACCGTAACATAATATCTGCTGTAACGTAATACTGTAATGTTTTATGTAACACTAAAAGGTATTTATTATCCCCCGTTTGCAGCGGATGAGATACAAGCAAATGAGTTCTGTATTGTATTTCCATCATTTAAATTACAATTCCGCTTTTACCCGATAATATACACACTTTTAATCTGAGAATAACAAATATCTATTTTGTAATAAATAATACGAGGGGTGTACTATGAGCGCTCTCTCTCTCGATTCTTGCGGCGGTTTATGGTAGAGGTAGACATTACACTGTGTGTATCATATTTTCTAAATGAAATTAATAACTGAATTAAAAAATATAGGATTGCATTTCCTTGTAGACAAAAAATGCGGAGAGGTGCCGGGTAGAAATTAACATAGTTAATAACACGACCGTTGATTCTGTATATACACTTATTAATCATTAATCATGATTACTCTGATACTATTACCATTACTTATTACTGACTTATTATTTTCGTTCGTGCGTAGATACCGACGGAACATCTGATCTTAGACTGAAGACGTATCCCAGTGAACAAGTGATTAAAGAAAGTAAGTATTACAGTTTCTTTTTATTAAGCTGTGTACGGATTTGATGATATGTTGTAAATGCATTTGTTGCAACTTCAATTTTTGTAGTCAATAGTTATCACCTAACAAAAATATCTCAATAATCGAACATCTTAGTTATCTATAGGTATTAGAAAAATTAACACAAAATAATAGTAAGCAACAAGTGCCGCGTTGCCGTCAAATTATAGAGTCTCCCAAAAGAAAATTTAATTAATGAATGTGTTTGTTATTTTTTTTCTTGCCTCGGCCAGACCCGGCGAAGCAAGGTAAGACTTCTCAAAAAGTATAAGCTGCAAAAATCATGCTAAAATGGGCTAAAATAATCTTCATGAATCATTAGATGCGCAAAATTGAAAATATTATTTCAGTGATATACGTATTATCGCTTTTTATGATCTTCTGTTGCAAACGCTTTTCTAAGCAAGATAAGCAACACAATTTTGATCTTAAAAAAACTTTCGATAAATTCTCTGATTATTAAATATAATTTAATGTTCGCCATTTTGTTTCGCAGATATATACACATATTGCAATCATAAAATTACACAAACCACATTTATTTCTAAGAAATGCAATTTTTATATACAATTTAATCAATAACCGAAAATTACAATTAGTAATATCGTATGAAGCCATGCTTGCAAATATTAATTGTGCATGATAGCTAATGTCGTTCAGAACAAGCAAATTTTGGGCTACAAAACTATTTATAAAATCTCTTCGATTACCGGTATCTAATCCTGATCGTGTATTACATTTTATTAATAAGAACTCTCTTTTGACACTAATTTGCTCGAAGAATCTCGATTTTATTATGCCGGATGCCTTGCCTAGAATGTTTTACTTTTTACTATCTACATGCAAAGAGCGTATCGAGTAACACGATTAAGAAAAACTGAAGTGTTGCACGAATTGAAAAACTAACACGTTGTCCGTCATCGTCTCAATTTGAGAAACGGGGACGTCCGCTTGCTTACCGATCACTTACTGACGGGACACTTGACGTACCGCGGGAGTAATGATCCGTAAAGGTGCAATCTCTCGAAACTCGAGCGGAATTTATATCATGCAAAACCGTTCCGATCAGGTCGCGAGGTCGTGTTCCAATGCCGTGACGAGGGTCATCTACGTGCCAGAGTACGTTGGGTCCGCGGCAACGGCCTTCCTCTGCCGCCTGGCAGCCGGGACATCAATGGTCGCCTGGAAATACCCAACATCCAACTGGATCACGCTGGAACGTACATCTGCGAAGCCGTGGGTTATCCGCCGTCCACTCCGGGCCGTCAAGTCAGCGTCGTCCTCACCGTCGAGAAGTGTACGTTCTTTTGTCTTGCCTTCCCGATTTACAGCTATGAGGAATTTTTTGCGATAAGATACAGCCGTGAGAACCGTTACTTACCAAGGAACGGGCGCCTAGGGTGATTTTTGCACCCCAGTATCGAAGAAATAAAGCTTACGTCACAGTAATTTTAATGTGCTTCTTTTGTTTTTTTAAATATTTTTTAGTTTCTCCTTACTTTTTTCAGAAAATGAGTAAATCTATATACAAATTGTTCTCAAACACTAATAAATTATACAGAATAGTCAAAAATATGCAATATGTAATTAATAACAGTGGCTTTTAATTGGGATGTAAAGATCACCCCTAAAAAATCAGGCGCTCGTTTCCGGGGTAAAATCGAAATTCTTTTTAATGAAGATTTGCCGCGTAATAACAAATTAATTATCACGCAGTTGAGCAACCGGCTACCAGACCGCCGCAAGTGTGCCAGTACGATCAGGCTACCTGCAGCAACGGCGACTGTATTCCCAAATCGTACGTTTGCGACGGTAAATTCGACTGCACCGACGGATCCGACGAGATGCGATGCAGTAAGTATGATTGGTACCAACGAGGCTGGATATATCCGGCGTTCATACTTTATGGTGAGAATTTCACGCGTCCTTTTCGACAGGTCCGCACGGATGCGAGCCCAACGAGTTCCGCTGCAATAATAAGCAGTGCGTCAGCAAGTTGTGGCGTTGCGACGGCGACAAGGACTGCGCGGACAACAGCGACGAGGAGAACTGCGCGCCGTCTCCCCCGGGATCCCCGTGCCGTTACAACGAGTTCGCCTGCAGCAGCAACAAGCAGTGTATCCCGAAGAGCTACCACTGCGACATGGAGCGCGACTGCTTGGACGGCAGCGACGAACTTGGATGCTGTTAGTATCGATGGGAATTTCATGAGCGCGAAGCATCAATATTTTGTCGCCGATCGTCTGCCGATCTTCGTTTTGCGATTGAAAGTTAAATGACGGAGTAGCTATAAAACTTTCACAGTCGAACACATTCTAAAATCAATCAATTGGCCTTCTAAAAAGTCAAGTACATATTTTATACTTTGATACACATTTTATACTATTTTATTAATATGTTTCTATGTTAAGTTTTTGAAAGTTATATTTAGAATGTATCTCTTCTGTTATGAGAGGATCTTTTATTATCTCTTATAATTAACAATTCAATGTGTGTGAGATGTCACTATTGTTGATCATTGTAACATTATTAACAATGTCTATTTTTATTAACACTATTAACAATGTCTATATCTGATTTGTTCTTGCAGCTCCCGTTTACATCATAAAACCTCCGCCGCCGATGGTCGTCCTTGTGCCGGGCGACATGCTGGTCCTCACCTGCACGGCGATCGGCGTTCCGATACCGGAGATCAACTGGCGTCTCAACTGGGGACATATCCCCGCGAAATGCACAAGCGTGTCCACCAATGGAACGGGCACGCTGACATGTCCGGACATACAACCGGAGGACCAGGGCGCGTACTCGTGCGAGGCGTTGAACGTCGGTGGCTTCGTCTTCGCCGTGCCGGATGCCATCGTTGTCGTGAAGGAACGCGGCAACGTCTGTCCGAGGGGCAAGTTCAATTCCGAGGCGAAGACCGCCGAGGAGTGTATCTCGTGCTTCTGCTTCGGCGTCGCCACCGAGTGCCGCAGCGCCAATCTCTTCACTTATCAGATCCCGCCGCCGTTCGACCGTCAAAAGATCGTGTCGGTCGAGATCGTCCCGACGATTAAGATCCACGGCGACGTCAGCAACCAGATATCACAGATCCGTCCGCTCGGTCGGGATGGCGTTCAGCTGCTAGAGTCCTTCAGCAACGATCTGAACATCTACAACAATCCCTACTTTGCGTTGCCGGAGACCTACCACGGCAGTCAATTGAAGTCCTACGGCGGCTATCTAAGATACTCGATCCGCCACAGCGGCAACGGCACGCCGAACAACGCACCCTCTGTCATCCTAAGCGGTAACAATTACATCCTGATACACAAAGGTGAAGAGCCAACGCCGGATTACGACAACGAGAGGTCCGTCAGGTTCTTCTATGGCGATTGGTACAAGCAGCAAGGAAGAAACGAGGTTCTGGCCTCCAGGGAGGATATTATGATGACGCTGGCGAACGTAGACAATATTCTTATAAAGTATGCATCGAGCCTCTTATCGCTGACGACGAAGAATGATTAGAATAATTTTTTTTTAATACGTTTGATATGTTTTAGAGTAAAATACGACGACTCGCCGCAGCTGGACGTTCGTCTCACCAACATCGTTGTGGACACCGCCGATGCAAGAAACACCGGTCTAGGAACTGCGTCTTTCGTCGAGGAATGCCAATGTCCTACTGGTACGATATTTCTTTAACAATTAATCAGATATTTGAGTAAAACAAATTCCATTTGTTTTATTGATTATCTTAATCGTCTTCAAGGATACACCGGTCTGTCTTGCGAGCACTGCGCACCTGGTTATCTGAGACGCGAAAGTGGACCGTGGCTCGGGCAATGTTACAGGGATGAACCACCGTGCCCTCCGGGATATTACGGCGATCCCTCGAGGAACATTCCTTGCCAGATTTGTCCTTGCCCGCTTACCAACCCGTCGAATCAGTAAGCCGCGAATGGATTAAATTACCTTAGCGATAAGTTTTGAATCAAAACACTTTCATAATTTGTTAACATATTATAAATAGGTTCGCCCGCACATGTCATCTTGGTTCTGACGGCCAACCCACGTGCGATTGTCCTCCTGGCTACGTTGGACGCAGGTGCGAGCAATGTGCCGTCGGTTACCAAGGGAATCCTCTTATTCCCGGAGATATGTGCGTTCCGCTTCAACAATGTGATCCTAACGGCAGCCTTAGTCCTAACGCTGATCCTCACACCGGAAAATGTCACTGCAAGGTATATAGCATGCTGATAAATAGCGCCGTAACTATTGTTACATACGAGTAATTTTGTACAAGATGCCTCAGAAATCGCGTGTTTTTTCTCAATCACGTAATCTCGCATGAGAAACAATTCCTTTCTGTAAATAAATATAATAAACGCGCAATTTATCCACTGACACTTCGTCAAAAAATCTATGCGGGATAAATTGCGCGATTCCCCAGATACCTCGCGTAACGATTTTTATTGTTGTTCTTGCATCCATCTTTCGTGGATTCTTTTTAACTTTAAAAATGTAAGTACATTATACAGTTCTTCTATATATGTAGATATATATAGATCGATGTTTAGGATAAAAATGAGCGCGACAACGTCGCGATCGACAAGCGCTGTCTATTCTCTAATATTTCCTCTTTCAGCAATACGCAACGGGTCTCACTTGCAACCAATGTAAGGCGAATACCTTTAATCTGGCCTCCACAAATCAATTTGGATGCATAGCTTGCTTCTGCATGGGCATCACCAACAAATGTGTCTCCTCCAACTGGTACAGGAACGAGGTACGACAAAGATATCACATCTGTTTTTATCTTTGCTTCAAAAAAGTCTTTTTATTACGAGAAGCTGCACAAGCGAGACTTTATATTTTATAAAAACCTTATCACAAAACATAAAATCGGCTATTCTACACAACTTTTTTTTATAGAAATATAATAATTGATTAACATGAAAATGTTAAATAAATCATTCTCACGTTGCAGATTCGTGTATCGTTCACCAACTCAATTCGAGGTTTCTCTCTAATCGAATCTAAGAGCACCGACGGACCAGACATTGTAGAGGGAATTCATCTGAACGCCATCAACCGGGAGATAGTTTACAGCGAGTTTCCCAACCGTGGTAACAATGATGTCTATTACTGGCAATTGCCCAGCATTTTCCTAGGGGATCAAATAACATCCTACGGCGGCAATCTCAAGTACACCGTCAGATACGTGCCCTCTCCGGGCGGTCAAAGTTCAAGGAACAACGCCGCGGACGTCGAACTAATCAGCGTGAGTGCACATTCGCGAGTCTTAATCCGCGTGCTTGACGATGAAGATATATAACAGAAATAACTTAAAATGTATACAGGCTAACGACATCAACTTGCTCTACTACTCTCGCGAGTCTCCCGAGCCTAACTCCCAGCAATCGTTCACCGTGCCATTGCTCGAGCAATATTGGCAACGTACTGACGGAACTCAGGCGGACAGGGAGCACCTTCTAATGGCGTTAGCGGATGTACGAGCTATCAAAATCAAAGCCACTTACACGACGCATACAGACGAAGCTGCGTAAGTACTTTACACATTTTTGATATTATCAAATCTTAAATTTTTAATTATAATGACAACTAATAAATAAAAAATGATTATCTTCTAAGCTCCTTAAAAGAATATAAGAATTTTTATAAAATAGACGGATAAAATTTCCGATATTTTAAAACAATAGTTGCGGATTTATTTGATGTTCTATTAAAATAAAACTAAAAACATATTTACTTCAAAAGATTTCAAGATCTTGGTCGCGATTTATCAAGCGATGTTATATATGCTTCAGACTCTCCTTCGTGTCTTTGGACACCGCCGAAAAATACAACACAGGTAAGGCTCGTGCGGTTGAAGTTGAAGAGTGTACTTGCCCCGCCGGCTACAGAGGACTTTCGTGCGAGGATTGCGACGTTGGTTACACCCGGGCCATCGAAGGTCTCTACTTAGGCATCTGCGAGGCGTGCAACTGTAATAATCACTCGAATCAGTGCGATCCTGAAAGTGGCACTTGCGAGGTAATAAAAGCAATTTTAATCAAACATTTTAATCAAGCGATAACGTTACATTTTAATAATATAATTGAACTCTTTTTTTTAATGGATTATATACAAGAAATTTTATCGAAATAGCTATATTGCATCAATAACCGCTTGATTTAAATGCAGTATTTTTTTCAAAATACAGTTTATCTTATCGATATAAAATATGTTATAAATTATAAAATCTGAAAATAAAAATTGAACTAAATTTAAAATTTTATAAAAATATAACTATGTATAAATATGCAGATAGATATTTAGAAGCAATTGCTATAAAAATTGGCTATGAAAACCTTGACAGAATTGCGCTCATCATACCACCGGCGAGTTCTGCGAGCTCTGCGAACCGGGATACGAAGGAGACGCGACCCGAGGCACGCCGAACGATTGCACGTATGGAAGACCGAGACCCGAGCCATGCAGATGCAACGAGGCTGGTTCACGCGGCGCTTCTTGCGTCGACAGCCGATGCGAGTGCAAGAGGAACGTCGAGGGTCCAGAATGTAATCGATGCCGCCCCTCGACGTACGGATTACGCGCCGAGAACATTGATGGATGCATCGAGTGTTACTGCAGCGGGGTAACTGATCAATGTCACGAGAGCACATTGTACGTACAGCAAATACCGATGTGGGTATACGACTCACATCACGGCTTCACTCTCACGGATTCGTAAGTACACGCATTTTATTTCTTTCTAAAATAGCTTTTCAAATTAATATAAGCATGAATAAATTTTATTAATTTTTTCTCTGTCTTGTTCTGATAAATAAAATTTATACATATATATAATATTAAATAAAATTGGAATTTTTGATTTCGTGTTTTTATGTAGGACTAGACGCGACATAATCGACGACGGCTTCGAGCTAAATGTGGCAATGAATGAAATCGGCTATCGATATCCGGATAGTAGAAGCCACAGACTGTTCTGGTCGCTACCGAGCGTCTTCACCGGTAACAAAGTTAAGAGTTACGGCGGAAACTTGACTTTGACGCAGCATATCACCGCGTATCCTGGCGCTCAGAGTTATAAGGATCAAGACATTCTACTGATTGGCAATGGCATTACATTGTTCTGGACGAATCCGGTGGAAGTTCAACCCGAGATTCCGCTGGTACGTAGAGTCTCTCTGACGTTTTATAAACTTCAGCGGAAATCTCTCGCAGAATTCAATGTCTGAAATATTATTTAGTAATTACACTTGACAAAATATTTTTTGACCATATAATTATTTTAATAAAATCTCTTTGTACATTTTTTTTAATTAAACACTGTTATTTAATACATTACACATTTATCATTTACTTTATTGAATATAAAGCATCAAGCTCTATATGTCTATATAATATGAATTTAAATTGGAATTTCGACGTTTTGCAATTAGTGACATGTGTATATCTTTCACAGACCTATTCCGTTCCGTTGAAAGAGCACGAATGGAGACGACTGACCATCGAAGGACCGCGCAGCGCTTCCAGGACGGATCTCATGATCGTGCTTTCCAATCTGGAGGCTATTTTGGTCCGAGCATCCCACAGCGAGCGAATGACCGCAACATACATCAGCGACATCAGCATGGACACGGCCGTGGAGAATTTGATTGGAAACCGACGAGCGACTCAGGTCGAGGCTTGTCGTTGCCCGACCGGTTACACGGGCACCTCCTGCGAAACCTGCGCTCGTGGTTATTACAGGGACACCAGCGACCGGACTGTCAGTTACTTGGGCGCGTGCAATCTCTGTCCGTGCAACAAGAACGAAGAGAGCTGCGAGATTAGCAGATCCGGCCATATCAAGTGCCACTGCTTGCCGGGCTTCACGGGACAGTATTGCCAAGACAGTGGTACCGGTAAGTAACAGCGTTTCTTAATATTTGAAATATTACATGCAGAATTACATTAGTTTCCAATCACTTTAGTTTGAAGATAAGATAATTTGAAGAAAAAAACGAGTAGTAAATTGGACTAAATTATATTTATAGCGGATGTATACATATATAAATCACTCTAATAGCAAAAAGAAAATAATTAAAAAGTCAATTCTATCTTATTTAATTTATTATGTCGAATTTAGTTCCGAATATCTTTTTGTGAACGCGAGAGCAAGAGATCCTTTCGTTGAAATTTATACTATAATAAACATCCGTTAAACTCGCCTAAGAATAGTAATAACGACACGTTGGTGGTCAGGTGAACTCATGGTAAGCCTAATGCCCATGCACGGCGAAGTCGAGCCGTACTCCACGATCCAATTTACGTGCAACTATGACTATCCAGACACGTTTTACATCTATTTTAAATTGTCGTCGCTCAACGGATTTCCCATAACTGCGCGGAGCGGCGAAATCGGTCCGATAATGAAGACAGAGAAGGGAGCTGTCCGCACTTGGTTCGTCCATATGGGACATACCCCTTGCAACGTGGAATGTCACATCGTGAATTACCGCGGCGGGGAACTGGTCAAGATTGTGACGTCGATTACGCCAGGTTTGACGGACTACATAGCGAGAGCTTTCGCATCTTGTCCGTCCATCGATGATTCATTGGCGAGGGAGAGCACACGGATCATCATCAACCATGTCTGCGTTTGTCGCTAGGTCATCGTAGATCATTGTCAGATCGTAGATCGTCACCAAGTCTGGTGAAGGCACTTCCTTGGGTCGCAGTCCTTGTCACAGTTCCGTAATTTTTTTTTTTCGCAGGATTAGTATTTGCGGAAAAGCTTGGCTTTTTTCCCTGGTACATGGTATTCAGTATCACGGACGTCCTGTCGACGTACAATAAAATATGTGTATCGTAGCAATTAATACAAATGTGTCATTCTTCGAAATAACCATCATTGTAACGATGTCTCGTCAAAATGTGATGGTGGTTGCATTCCTGTGTCACGGACAATGTCGCTTATTCATTGCAGTGTATCCACAGATTTGCAAGATTCAATAATCGTCCATATCGTCCATATCTCTGTTGTTATTCGTCATATCGCGTTAAGTCCTACGATAGTATAAGAGAAAACTGAGAAGAAATCGCGTTCGTTTTCAAATCAATGTTATTTTCATTTTCCTCACAGTCGAACACACTACTACGGAGGGCCCGATATCTCCACCGAGGATCATAGTTTACATACAGGAACCGGAATTCCAGATTGTCCACACCGGAAATACCGTCCGATATCATTGCACAGGCAGATCCAAAGATAGCGTGAGTCCTTCATCAATTCTCTGTTTATAAAATCCTCTTGTGGGCATAATTGCAATTCTTTATTTACGGTTGAAAATAGGACTCGGTGCACATCAGGTGGGAGAAAGAAGGTGGCCAATTACCGCCTGACAGGAGCGTGGAAGACTCGAGTGGATTGTTGGTCATCAGGGATGTGAAGGTATCTGATAGCGGCATATACGTCTGCCAAGTGAGCGATGGAATAAACATTGGATATAAGAAAGTCACGCTGACTGTTGGAGGTACGATTAATTTTAATTGCATTAGAGCTCAATGTAATCTTATATTCTTCGCCGTTATGAGTTAGAGAATAGATAAATCAACGTTAAACATTATTTAATTCTTACACATTGTATTATTGGATGCAGCATTTCCAAAACACTTGCTGGAAATACCAGGTACAAATCACAACCGTGTTAAATTGTTCGCGAAACAGAGCGTAATTTTATGTGTCTTCTTTAAGGAGCCAATCCGGTAGAGCCTAGAGTTGTTATAAATCCACCGTATCAGCAAGTGAGGGAAGGCGAACCGGTTGAGTTCCGCTGCGAAGCCACTGGTAATCCGCCACCCCAATTGGACTGGGTACGAGTGCACGGAAGCATGAGTCCAGAAGCGACATTCTACAACGGCGTATGGAATCTTCCAGCCGCGTCGAAGAACGACGCAGCTGAGTATAAATGTGTCGCTAGGAACAACGTTGGCATAGACGAGAAGACGACCATCTTATACGTTCAAGGTACGGTCAAAATATTCATGTATCTCGGACGTCGCAAGATTGTACCTCAAACTTTTAAATTATGCGAGAATTATTATTGAACACTGATTAACGTTAATTTAATAATGTTAATCTGAAACTTACGACTCACACGTGACTTTATTGCTGAAGACATTCGTTCTGTGTTACAGACAATCCTAACAAGCCACCACCTCAAGGCTTGCCGCCGACCATAACTCCGTCCGAATGGACCGGAACCAGCGGAGACGTCGTCAGGCTGATCTGCACACCGTCTCAACATGCGAACGTCACCTGGACGAGGTCCGGCGGATTGCTTCCTTATACCGCCAGTCAGCGCGACGGGGTCTTGACGATCACCAATCCCACCCCTGACGATTCCGGCATATACGTGTGCACCGCGACGAGCGTTCGTGGAACGGAGACAAGCACCACCGCCAGGATTATGATAGTGCCCCGTAGAGAATTACCGACGGTCAAGGTCAGACCGGAACGGCAAGAGGTGTCCCAGGGCACGACGGCCGAGGTGCGATGTATTACCAGCGGAGAGCCAGGTCTACAGGTGAAATGGAGCAAGTACACGGAAACGATGAGTAATCGTGTCCAGCAAGTAGGGGACACGCTCAGGATCATTAATGCTCAGGTCTCCGATCGTGGAGTATACATCTGCCGGGTTACTAGCCCCACGGGCAGTTACGAGGCCAGTACCATCATCGAAGTTGAACGTAAGCTCGTAATATATTATCTTAAAGAAACAAAACCCGTCCCTCTGAATCTTTTATATATTAGTAATTCATATTCGGATGACAAAGCAAAAAGACGTTTAAAAATATTTGGACAAAATAAACTTTTATTCTCAGAATTGCATGAAAATGCAATCAGCATCATAACTGCATCATGATTTCTTGCCAAATCGATAAGAAATTTATTTTTCTTCCAATTTTTCTTTATCATTCTTAATTCTGCAAAAGCGAATCATCTGTTTATTGCAGCTCGCGAAGCTCCAGTTTTAGAACTGTATCCGCAAGATGTACAAACGGTCATCCTCGGCGGTTCCGCTGACCTTCAGTGTCGCGCGAAGGCCGGTTTCCCGGTGCCCGAGTTGCAATGGTCCCGCCAAGACAATCGACCATTCGCTTCCAACATCGAGCAGCTCCCTGGCGGTCTTCTCAGACTGTCGAACATCACGGCGAACGACGGCGGTGCTTACATCTGTTCCGCGTCAAACGAAGTCGGCGCGACGTCGATCATCGCGCATATCGAAGTGCAGTCCATGCCTGTGATCACCATCCTTCCGAAGGATGGTATCTTGAATGTGAAACGCGGAAGTCGAGTCCGTTTGACGTGCAGCGCGAGTGGTTATCCGCAACCCAATGTAGCTTGGAGCAAACACGTAAACGGAATAACTATACAGTAAGTTAACTTCATTATCGTTATGCGATGTTGTGGGGTTGCTACGATTATCGTACAGCCTCGTGAGGTAGTAAATTGTAGAAATTAATTTTATGTGGTAGGAATTAATGATTATCTTAATAATTAATTTTAAAAACGTAAACCTCTACATTATTAAAATATAAATTCTGTAATGTCTGAAGAAGTAGGAAAATTGTATTACGCTATATGTAAATAAATTATGGTATTATCTGTTTAATGCCCATTTCTACCAATGCAGATTAACTTTAATCTCGGTTTAACTTATTTTATCCTTTTCTAGTTGTGAATTTTAGAAAAAGATACAAAATAAGAGTTAAACCGAGTTTAAAGTTAATCCGCATTGATACAAAAATGGACATAAAAATTAAATCTGAATTACGATTTAATTTGATTCTAACAATTTTAATTTATTGTTACATAAGTCTCACATAATAATTTCATGGTATTATCGTGATTTACAGTGATACATATAGCAGAGCAGCAGCTACTCCCTTGAGTGCCGTTTACGAAATATTCTCTGTATCACTCGACGACGAAGGCTCCTACACTTGCCAAGCTACGAACACCGTAGGAATAACCGAAGAGCGTATTCAGATCCGCATCGAGGATGATGACGATGTGCCTTGCACTGGCGACAGAGGCGATATTCCATGCGACGATCAACAGCAACCACAACCTGATGTGTGTATTATAACTCTGTCATCCCGTACCTTTAATACATGATACACAATACGCACATGTTTTTAACGAAAAATAATTTTACAGAGAGACCCGAACCAAGGGGGAGGAGTGCTGATTCCTAAAGACTACTTGAGAATTCCGAACGGCGGCAAAGTGGAGATGCGTTGTCAGGTCTTTGGACCGGATGGAGATCATATCTATCTAGATTGGAAGAGAAGCGATCATCGTTCCCTTCCAGAAGGTAGCACAGTGCACAATGGAGTATTAAGTATTCCGGTTGTTGATAGGAACGCGGCTGGAGAATACACCTGCTTGGGCTTGGATCCTGCCGGCACCGTACTCTTCCGAGCGAAATCTCATCTTGAAATTATATGTGAGTAACACAAGCTGCATTAAATTAATATAAAAATAAAACTGCAAGATTTAAATTTACGAAATAAATAAATTTGAGATCGGCAACTTTTCTTCACAGCTTTCTTTTAAAAACTGCATATGCTATTAATTTCTTTGTTCGATTTTTTTCTAGCTCCGCCAAGAATCGAATTAAATCCAACGCGTCAGACAGTGGGACCTGGAGAAAATCCATCCATAATTTGCACCGCCACGGGAGACGAACCCCTGCATATTGAGTGGGAAGCTATAGGACGCCCGTTACCATATTCTGTATCGCACAGCGGCGGCAACCTACAGTTCCATGGCATTACCTATTCCGACGCCGGCAAATATGTGTGCAAAGCGACGAATCCAGCAGGAACAGCGGAAGCGGTAGCAGAAGTTTTAGTTAATGGTTGGTTGATAAGTAATTCAATTTTTTAAACCTAATACATAAAATGTTTTTCTTTTAAATAATTATATTTGAATATATAAAATATTCTAAAAAATATAAGAAAAAAATATATAACGCAGTTACGTATTTTTTAAATGCTTTTCCATGTTAGACATGTTACGTACGTATAAAAAATATAAATTTTGGCACAATAAAATGCAATGCGATTTTTTAGTATTTGTATAAAACAATGTCCGCCGTGCACAATACACTATGCGTTTAATAAACATTTGAAAATTGTCGGAGAACAGCGAACTTTACAAATCGACATTTACGATTTACAGAACATCCTTACGATAGTGCAAGGATCCGCGCTGAACAAAGAGACGTGGTAACTCATGCCGGCAATTCTGTACGCTTACGTTGCGAGATGCGTGAACGCGCGACGATCCATTGGACTCGAGAGGGGCAACCCTTGCCGGCCAACGCGCGAATCGGAGAAGATTACTTAGAGCTGACGCAAGTGAAACCGGAAGACAGCGGAAGATACATCTGTCAGGTCCAGACGAGCCGCGGCGTATCCAGCGATTATATTAATTTCAACGTCTCTCGTAAGTTCCGCCGTGTTTTCGCTAAGCCCCGTCGTTTCAGCATCATTTCATAGATTTTTTGCTTTTATTCGACTGCATCTACTGAAGATCGCAGTACACACGCTAAAGGAGTGTTTCGCCTGTTGAGGAATCTTAATTTTTGCCTTTAATTCTTTCGGGATATGCCATAATTTACAATGAGAAGTGTTACTATTATTACAACGTTAATCCCGAAAGGATTAAATCCCAAACTGCTTTTTTTTTACCAAATACTTTGCTATATCTGAGCGATTTTTCACCAATAGAACATTTCAGACTGGTCCATCTGAAGATTTCAACTTCTCATTTGGAACGCAACCGGTATAGAACTACCGATTCCACGTTTGTTTTAATAAAAAAGAAATAATCAGCACAGAATTACTTATATCGAAAATTTAAATAATCGCGATTAAAGTATTTTAAATCGGGTTTTTTTTTTTAGTACTAATCCAACGCATCACTCATATCACTAACAAGCGCGCGGCAGATTACTCTCAGGCAATACAAATAGCAAAAGACATCACGGATGCGTTCAAGAAGCGTCCTAAATCCTTTCAGATGTCTCTTGAACTTTTGTATCGTTTGGGCTATTAACGAGATCATATATATATACATATATTACAAACGTGGTTCCATGAACGTTTCCACAAGTTTAGGTTTCTTTTACAAGGCTCGCGTTATGATTTTGAGTAGTTAATTTGCTTGCGGATTGCATGCCAGTGTACCGATCGCAGTGCAGGCACTGGGAGTATCAATGCAGAAGCCTACAATGCATTCCGATGGAATACTTTTGCGACGGATATGTTCAGTGCAACGACGGTACTGACGAACGCTTCTGCCGCAACGCGCGCTATCGCCAATATCTTCAGCGACGACGCGGTTTGTTTTGAGATATATGTGTGTCGTGTGATGTCCCGTAGTTCTCCTACTTGTAGTGAACTGTCCTTTATATTATTGCTTACTGTACGAACCTATGAGGAGAGGATACGGATTAAGGTGGACTCTCGGCCGAAGAGCTCCGGGCTCGGATGATGTATAGACAAGCGAAATAAGATTTTAAAATGTTACCGAGTTTCTCCAGTTAGTTGTCTTTTTATAAAACATGCAAATATATATATAGTGCGGAAGAAGTGCACACCACCCGTATCCCATCCTTGTCAGCAGCAAATACAAAATATGTGTAAATCAACATATATACACTTCAGACTTTAAGACTTTTTCAGACCATAATTCAATGCTATTTTTTTGCTAGAACTTTTATTTCAAATAGATCGCTATATCATTCTTTTGCAATCTCCAAACGTGCTAATATCACTTCAATGAGGAAAAAATTGTTCCATGTACATTTTCTGCGGTCTTATTTATCTATTTACGTAACTTTTCACGACGAATTTCAAACGTATAAAAGCTCAGGTATATCGGATAAACCAATTTAATCAGATTTTGCAGTTTATTTTAGAAATCGATCGAAAATTATAGTATTTTCTTCGCGATATACACGATGACGTGCAAAACAGAATATATATTTTCCTAATTTCACGATCAATCTTAACGTATGGCCAACATGTATAATTGGATTCTAGCTGCTGCAGTGGCTTCAGTAAGCATCGAGGTGTCTCAAGATCCAATAAACATCGGCGATACGGTTGACATACATTGCACATACACTGGAACACGCAGTCCACGTTATCGTTGGACGAGACCGAATCACGTGAGCCTGCCAATAAACGCTCAAGAGTACGGCAATATCTTGAGATTAACTAATGTAGCCGTGAGCGATAGCGGACCCTACAGGTGCATGGTAGACACGCCCGAGGGTATACTCGAAAAGGACTTCAATCTGATCGTCCACGGTAATTAATAGACATATATACAACAAATAACGATAGATATGCAGCAAATATGTGTATAGATAAAGAATTTACATAAAATATTACATGTATATTCATGTATATATATATCTCTCTCTCTTTTTTAAAAATATCTATTTTTGTCAATGCTTACTCAAATTGCATACGTTTTACGTAAGTATAAAGTCGGCAAACAATTAATTTTATCGCAAAAATTATTGTGATCAAAGGATTTTATGGTTTTCCAGGTGGAATCCTCGATGAGCCAGCGATTGAAACCAAATTCGCGCCATACGGGTCAAGTCTGGAAATGGATTGCCGTCTGGATCTCGATCCGCCAATACAATTCCAGTGGAACAAGCTTGGTGGACTTCTGCCACGTGACAGCCAGACTTACGAGGTACATAAAAAATGCATACTTATCATATGTTTATGTAAAATCGAGAGGACCCCTCACATATCAGTGATAATTATATATTTTTGACAAAATATTACATGCTATTCGATAACTTGGTATTTTTCATTTTGCAGAACAAATTGAAGTTGACTAATGTAAAGGCCGAAGACGCTGGAACATACATTTGCGTCGGAAATAATGGAGAGTCGCGAGTCGAAGTGCCTACGGTGCTGGTTGTAACAGGAGTTGTGCCTAATTTCAGTCAGGCACCCGAAAGTTACATCGCTTTCCCTCCTCTACCCGACTCCTACCTTAAGTTCAACATCGAAATCTCTTTCAAACCAGAAAGTTACGACGGCATTCTGTTATACAACGACGAGTCTGGTCAAGGCAACGGCGACTTTATCATTCTGTCTCTAAATAACGGATACCCGCAATTCAAGTAAATAAAAAGATCTTGATAAATACATACAAAATATGCATACGTATAAGTACCGTATTTTATTTCACTTGTCAAGTATCGATTTCATTTGAATTTTGATTCATTACAGAATTATATGATTAAAAAATAATTTTAAACAATTGCCTATTACATATTGGACATTAGAAATTAAGTTGTGCGTTTGCAATGTCGCTTTTTAAATTAAATATTAAAGTTTTCAAATTCAGCATGAAATTGAATGACAAGTGAACAATTTCTAAATACGAGTATTAACACGACGAATTTTTTAATAGATTCAATCTCGGTTCTGGACCAGCTATTATTCGCGCGGATAAGCCTGTTACCCTGAGCGAGTGGCATACCATCAAGATCCAACGTAATCGAAAGGAGGGTACGATGCTGGTGGACGGCGAGGGTCCTTACAAGGTGCTCGCCTTGGGTAGACGCCAAGGTCTCGATCTCAAAGAACCTCTTTACATCGGGGGAGTGCCCAGCTACAGCAGAATCAACAAGCAGGCCGAGGCGAGCACAGGTTTCGTCGGGTGCATCAGTCGACTAGTCCTCGGGGAGAAACAGGTCGATCTGATCGGCGATCAGACTGATAGCGTGGGCATCACGACTTGCGAGACCTGCGCCGAGAATCCTTGCAACAATGGCGGTGTGTGTCAGGAAGCGGCCACGAAGAACGGCTACACGTGCCTGTGCCGAGCCGGTTTCAGCGGCAAGCACTGCGACAATGTTGGGCAATCCTGTTATTCAGGTACTATATGTATAAATTAATACATTTTAATTATTTGTACATTTTGTTATATAGATACAATGGTATCTATCAATTTTAATTACGATTTATTTTGTATTAATTGCAATTATTTATTAATTCTTATATCTAAAATTAATCGCATGCATAACATGTGTAGACTTCCTATTATTAACCCTAATCCCTCCAACGTTTTTTCCGCCACTTAATTCCTCCAACCATGCACTTTCGAGTCTCACGCGTTTTTCAGTACGTAGTTAGGGCTTTGAAATTTCTACCTGATGTTCCCTATAACAACTTTTTTTAGAGATGGGGGATTATTCCATGGCCGTTGGTTTTCCGGTTTTATTGTTTTAATTTAAAGTCTTCAAGCAAGACTCATTACGGATTGTATAATTAATTAAATGGATTGAATAACGTCAGGTGCTTGCGGAGAAGGTAAATGCGTCGACAAGGAAGTCGGCTTCGATTGTTACTGCCCGATCGGGAAGACAGGTTCAAGATGCGAGCATTCGGTGAACATCTACGATCCGGCTTTCCATGATGATAGAGCTTTCATCGCTCACGAGACTCCAAAAGCTCTTAGACGGTGAGTATCGCCGCTCCGATCGAACGCACGTGCACGAACTATTTCTTAGTAAATTGCACTTAGTCGATGTCACCCGCGCACGTAATAGAATATATTTCACAGTCATAGGGATTGCATATCTCATATTATAGACTTATTTTACTTTGAGTTTTTTTAAGTAATTATTTGTACATACCTCACCTATGAAAAATGTATAAAATAAAAGAAATTAATATAGGCAACATTCTGCAAAACTATTTTTTAAATTATTGTAAAATTAGAGAGGTAGCAAATATAATTAATAATCAATAATAATTACACACGGTTAGAAATAAATTTTAATTAATAAACTTTGTATCTTTCTGAAATCTTTGAGACTTGAAAAATTCTATTTAGATATAACATTGTTATAAATATAAAGATAAATATTATAAAAATGTATCTTCGCGCCTTTGACGAATAAACTAACAGACTTAACTATAATTGGAATATAGGTACTAATCTCATTGTCAAAGTGCGTATGAACATCCTCAAGCATCCTAATTACTAAAAATTATTTTCAGGGGAAGAGAAAGTTCGACCACTACACACAGTCGATCACGATTACGCAACGCACAAATTAGGAAACCACGATCAAGGCCACATCACCACAATAATTTGCACCACACAAAACATTAGCTAGACCTAGCACCAATTTTACGCACTTAGAGAATCATTACTTGTCCAATCTCCAATCACAGCAATAATATAAACTTCTCTCTCCGTAGATCTAATGAATTATCATGCATAATAGCTATTTAAAATTTTCAAGACACGTTTACGCCAGAAAGATTAATCTGTTCGACTTATTTTTATGCGATTTTTCACTGCCTTTTTTTCTTTTTTTTATTTGGTACGCGTAGTGACGATGGTTGTACGGGAAAAAAAAAAGAATAAGCAATGAGTTCTTAACAGGTACTTTGCAACGAGCCTGCATAGTGCGTAGTTCCTTGTAATGGACGTCATGGTGCTGTAATGTTAGAACAACAGTCAATTTACGAATTAGTAATTAATATGTTTTGTACAGCTTCTTAATTAATACACTTAACGCGTCACTTTAGTCATTATTAATTATTAAAAGTAATACGTGAAGTCACTGCCAAATCAATCGCATTTAACAGTTAGTCCCCACTCAAGCTTAGAAAAAAAAAAACGTCAAAGTCGTAGCATCCACATACATGTATATGAGTTATATATGACAGCATATGTAAAATGTTTGTACTTATATATCTAAGAATCCATATATATAAATATTAAAAGAAAGAGACGTTTCACGTACGAATGATCCTTTATATACTCAGCGGACTCATGCTATACGATAATAAATATTTTTAAAGCAAGCAAACGGAAGTTAATATAATAAGTTACATACTTTTTAATTTAAGTCAATGTTTTATTCGATCTCAATGTTTATTCATCATAAACATTGAGATCGAAACATCATCACCTTGCATGTCGTAAAATGCTAAAAAGATATAAGACAAAGAGGTAAGTTTTAAGACAAAAACATTATTCATATATCTGTTTTGATTGTGTTGCTTAAACGTATGTATGTATATGTAAAATGTAAACCCTTTCTTTTCTATATATGTTCTTCTCAATCTTTTGCACGTGTCTTTCGTGTACAAGCTATAGTAGATTTGATTGACATTAAACTCCATTAACTTCAATATTTTAGCTTTTCTTTTATAAAAAGTATAAGACAAAGAATGACGAGACATTTATATACAAATATTTTACGCATAAGGAATATAAAAAGTAATAGTGTGCAAGTTGAGTTTTATAATAAAAACGAGCTAAATGAACAATTAACACGCGATACATATTGCTTAAAGTCCTTTAACAATGTGCAATAATGCCGTTTTCTTTATCTGTCCCATACCCAATTTTAGACTCAAGATAGCCATAAGTTTTAATCCTGCGGACACCGGGGACGGAATCTTGATGTATAGCTCTCACAGTGACGAAGGCCTCGGAGATTTTGCAGCACTCGTGATAAAGGACAGGCACGTCGAGTTTCGCTTCGATATCGGCTCCGGAATGACGAAGATAAGATCACCTTACGCCGTCCAACCCGGTGTGTGGACGTACGTAATGGTGAATCGAGATTTCAAGGATGCGAAATTGTCGGTGAACGGTGAGCCGTTTGTGGAAGGCAAATCACTCGGGGCTGCGAGAACCATGAATCTAAACACGCCTCTTTACATCGGAGGGGTAGATCACAGAAAAATCACGGTCAATCGGGACGTCGGTGTCGATCGCAGCTTCCGTGGATGCATAAGCGAAGTAAGCTTATTAATTATACGAGACAGATAGCGATGTACAAGATCCCGTAACTATAGCTCTTTAACTTAGCATTATTATTTAATGACAAATTTTTTATAAATCTAGAAGCAGTTCTCCATTAGCATAAATAAAGAAGCCTCTTTCAGTTTTATATCCAATATTATATCGTTATTTTAATGAAGTCAAAGAGAGTTAAACTGTGAAAACTTTAAAAGAAACCTTGGTAGAAAAATGTCTCAGAATTTTTTACATTATTAATCAGAATTTCTATGAAAAGTTTACTTTTTCAGAATTTTAAGATTTTCTCAGATTTTTTATATCAATTGAAACATTTTTCAGAATAACTTAGACAAAATAATAATGAAATATTTCAAATTTTTCCTGCCAACACATCTTTGTAGAAATCTGAATAAATGTAAGAAAATCCGCTTAATTTATCAGAAATTTTCATGTATGATAATTAAAAATATATAATAATTAATAATTCCATCGCAAAGAAGAAGGAGAAACTCCATTTAATGAGCGTTTGTTGATTTATATTACAGCTCGAAGTTTCGTCGGTCAGCGTGGACATAGTGAAGTCATCGATCGACGCGGCTAACATCGAGGACTGTTCGGAGCCTCATCCGAATCAGACGATGATCCATACCACTATCACTACTCTGGCACCCACGCAGCCGCCGACAACGTCATACGACCCCTGCGCATCGAACCCCTGCATCCATGGCCAGTGTCAAAGTCAAAACGATGACTATTCGTGCACATGCGAATATGGATACGCGGGTATAAACTGCGAGAAGATGCAGAAGCAATGCGAATTTCTTACTCCGTGTAGAAACGGCGGTTCCTGCACGGACCTCCACGAGTCTTACAAATGTGATTGTCGCCTCGGTTATAACGGGCAAAATTGCGAAAAGCGTGAGTATATTATTTATATCTAAACTACATACTATGCAAAAAAAACAATTTCTTAATTTTTAAAAAATACGCGTGAAAAAGAGACGAAAATTATTTCTCGTGACGTTTGTACGGGCGTTTAGACATGTTTCATAAACCGTCACTATAATAATTGAAAGATAGTTATTATAATATAATTGTTACTAAAGATATATAATAATAATTTGAAAATATAAATTAATAAATGAAAACAATTAAATGATCTAATTATGAATAACATGACTGTATATTTGCAGCGGCAGAGATCACGTACGATGTTGCCTTTAGAGGAGATGGTTGGCTGGAACTAGACAGATCCGTCATGACGCACGAAGAGGAGCGTGAGGTTTTAGGCCTCGAGATCAGCACTAATAAGAGTCACGGATTGATCATGTGGCACGGTCAAACACCGAACGATTTAACTCCCGACGATTACATCGCTGTTGCTGTAGTAGACGGGTAAGCAATGCGCACCGCAATATAAGACGAAACTGTCCGCTGTTCTAATCTCAAGATATCGACGAATCCTTGAATATTAACATTATTTTGTGTTTTTCTTTTCTTTGTTATCCCAGGTACGTGGAGTATCAGTACAACCTGGGCTCCGGTCCCGCCGTGATTCGCGTCACTGCCCAGCGCGTCAATGACGGGGAACGGCACAGGATAATCCTGAAACGTCAAGGAAGCGACGGCAGCATCGAGCTGAACGGCGAGCACACCGAGAGCGGCGTCAGCGACGGGCTTCAGCAGATCCTGAACGCGAGGGGTAACGTTTACTTGGGCGGCTTACCGGACTACGCGATGACTAACGGCAG